TGTACATTAATGATCGCATTTTAACGCTCCGTTTGACAGCAAGAGGAACATAACTTGAACCTTTTAAGGTTTTTATACCTTAAATCACATTTCGTGATAAATCAGACACTTTACGAGGTCTAAATGCAGCGTTACCCTCTCCAGTGTACTTCGGGATGCATCTTATTTTACCTTAACTTTTACTGTACGGCTTTCTTTCAATTCAACATGACACAAGTTATACTCTACCTTTTCTTTCTTTTCCTTTGTGATATGAGCCTTCGGATCGAGTACCTTTTAAATCTTTGCTTATAGTCTGCAATGTGATCATTCTTTTCTCATTTTCATTTTTGTGAAAAAAAAATTCATTTTTAATATTATTTACATTCTCATTTTTGTGGCACATATTTATTTAATAGGTGGAATTAGGATTAATTATACGTAAGAAAGTTCTAAGGTAAGCTTTCTAATAAACGGGTAGGCATAAAAATATACCAAGAGACAAAAGATTTTGTAAAACATGTACCACTGAAATTGAAGATGAATATCATTTTATACTTGTATGCCCAATGTATACGGCATTACGGTCAAAGTTATTGAAAAAGTATTATTGGTGTAGGCCATCCATGTACAAATTAATACATTTATTAAGTGTGAACAATGTAAAAGAATTGTGTAATTTGGGAAAATTCATTTATAAAGCCCTTGCGGTTAGAAATGATTTAAACATATAATGTTGTGTCATTTGCTGACTTGGCTATTTATTATTATTATTTTAATACGACTATAACTACTATTTTTCATCAATCTACATGTATGTATCATTCTCCATATAATCTATAAATACTGTTAACATGGGTTTGTATGTATGTATGTATATGATATAGATTTATAAGGACTGACCGTCCATTTTCGTCTCTTTTGTTATAATCTTGTAATACTGCTATAAGACGTATGGTTTCTGCAATAAAGAAATTGAATTGAATACCGTTTTAACTTCCTCTTCTCTGATGCAATCCAATAGGTGTCACTAGTACCTGCAATGCCTCACCAATTATTTCCCACGTGATTCTGTTAAAAATTATTTATGTCTGAAAAACTAGTATATAAGAAAAAAAAAAAGCTTTCAAAATCTTTCAGAGTAATTTATTAGAGCGTAAACAAGGAGCGGTTGGCTAACTCACTATAGACACATTTTGTACATTTTGAGGATAATATTACTTATGTGTACGTTATTACCTGGAATTATACCTTTAGACTGGTATATTAACCTACATGTATAGAAATAATAACAAATGAAAACTCTTTCAGATCTACCCACATCCTTAAAGTTTCTATACATTTTTCTTATTGCAAATCTTTGAGGGTCACTTTAAATATATTACAGTGTAATTAAAACCTGAATCTGAAAATTCCAAAATTTAGACTCTTTCCCTGTTTTTCTTAGGTAGATATTAATTTATTGTTAATTAAAAAAGTAAAGGGCTGTCAAAATATTTATTTTCTTTAGTTGATTATTCGATTGATTTGCCTTAGATATTATTACATACTGTTTTTCTTTTTCATTTATATATCAAAATGTCCTTACAGTGTTAGCGAGTTGTTTCAATAATTTTCAAAGTGTCAAAACATGTCACGGTTACGGTGTGTTTCTATTAGAGCAACAAAACGTAATAAACACATGGTATGTGATCAAATTCAATTAAGGAATAACTGTTTAATTTTTTGGATTCATGATGTGATCAATCGAGTGGCTTGCGTGATAATTTGCATAGACGCCGAAGGCGTTTATGCATAAAATTATCACGCAAGCCAAACGATTGATCATCGTCATGAATCCAAAAAATCTGACAGTTATTCCTTATATTTACATGCTCCTGATTCTGCAAATTCCCGTGCTAATAGCCCCGCTTCTGTCTCTATTTGTCCGCCCCGCACGTGATTTTTTTTTAACCAGTAGATTTATGTAGAATTAAAGTATTTTTACAATTTGTAATTTTATCTCGGACAAAGACATTGGAAATGTAAATATTTCAAGTTCAAGTTCTTTATTGACTTTGAGCTTTACAGCTCATCAGTGCAAATAAATACAAAAAGTTGCTGTCCTTTAAAACAGGACTGCAATACGTGGACCATATGTATGTTTATCTACACGAAATTCAAAGAAAATTTCTAGATTTAGTGATTTTACAAAGGTGTAAATAAATTTTTTTTTTTTTTTTTTACATGTATCTTGTAATTTTCATCGCTATTTAAGTCTGCTTTATTAGGCTGTAATGATAAAAAACCATGACCTTGAAATTATGTGGATATGAAATGTTCAATCTAATTAAAATTAGATGTTCCGAATCCGCTACCGCTTCTCAAAAGAAGTGGTAGCGGATTCGGAACATCTAATTTTAATTAGATTGTGAAATGTTGATCTAGGTATCTATCACAATTGTAAACACTGGTAAAGTAGCCTTAATTAACAACAGAATTAAAAGAGGTCTAAGCGTGCAGGTGTCGTAATAGTTGAATTGTAACTCCGTTGGCGGATCCAGGAAAGGAAGGGGGTTCGGTTGTTGTAACCCCATTTATTTTTACAGAAAGAGAGAGAGAGAGAGAGAGAGAGATGGAGAGAGAGAGTGTGTTTTTTCCTGTTGTATAGATATTTTTACGTCTAGTATTTTCAATAAAATAAGTACTTCAATCTCTGCTCTTTCTGCTCTCTAGATAGAGTTTGCTTATTGCTTTTCTCCTTGTACTTTCACAACCCCGGCCCCGGGCCTCGACCACCCACACGTAAAATGAAAGATTTCACTTCGATATCATCGGAAGATTCCGGCGAACTTACATAGCTATTTTTGGACCATCCTCTAAAGTAACTAACTTTAAGAAGTGTGCATAAAAGGTCATGAAAGGGAGTATGCATAAGAGAATATTTTTCTCCTTATATCATGTAGATATTTTAATCAATAAAGAGGAATGTTCAAAATGTCCCCGTAGTATGTTGGGGAGGGGGGCTCACTTTTTCTTAAAAAAAATAATCTTTTGTTATAATTTGAATATATAAGTTTCGATTTGCATAGGAAGCTCCCCCGCACTTTTTGTTGCAGGAAGGTTCAAAATACGGACAATCAAACATTTAAAAGAAATGAAAATGCACCGAAAAGTTTAGACGAAGCCCCCTCCCCCCGAAATAGGATTTTACAGTGTGGTGCACAGATTGTTATTTTAATTTATTTATTAATTGTTGCTTGTCAATTCTTTTTGGAGGTTGCCCCCTTTGAAAACCGTTGCTACGGACTTGAATATAAGCGCCTGCAGTGTGACCTAGAACCCCCCCCCCCCCTTTCAAAAACTGCTGAATCTGACCCTGTACTGGAACACTAGAGGGTCTCGGTACTAGAGGGTCTCGAGTTATATAAAACGATGCTAGGTTATCGATTAACTCGATCAATTTAAAAACACACACACACAAAAAAAATTTGTGTGTGTTTTTTTCTCTGTTTCTTTTAAATAACGGAATGGTTAATATACAACACCTGCAATCGTAACTTCTCGGCAAAACAACGTGATTTCCGAGCTCGCCAGAAGGTCTGAGAAGATGCGTCGCACGGGTGTAGACCTAGGCTATTTGGTCTTGCAAGCACAGGTGTGTGCACTGTTTGCTGGTGACGCTTAGATTGGTGACGGTACTTGCTACGGACATGAAGGACTATACACAACTTTCATAACATGTGCAGTTTTTTACTAGTGAAAATTGGAGTAAATTAAAAGTTGAATATCTTGGCTATGGGGTAACCCATATCTATTCTTGTTACAACGACAGTCAATGCATCCATGGACGAGTTCATTGGTTACTCTGAAAGGTGGCAGAGGTCAAGCTTTCGTTTACGTTTTCTACAATGAACTAGCAAAGTTGTTAAATTTTATTCCCGATTGGCCTATAGTTTTGTCATTTAAAAAATCGGGCTATTTCGATACATGTAAGGGACTTGACATCTGCACTAGATTTATACGGAAGATATCCTATCATTAGAAAGATAGATGGTACACATGGAGCACAGATCTGTAGTACGCAGATTTTTTTTTTTTTTTTTTTTTTGATGTTTCTCCCTCTCCCCCACATGGAAAAACGTTACTACAGGCCTCTATCAAGCTATATTTGGATTGCTGTCAATCAAATTATTTTGCGAACCTTGATGCACAAAACTAATGCCGGTAAATCTTTTAAAACCTAGTAGTTGAATTAAGTTTTTAATTCAACATGTTCAAGCTGTTTAGCTATCTATATAAGTTTTTCCTACTTATTTAAAATGCTTGTACCATAGAATTTAGTTTGTATAGAAGGATGTATGTATTAAAGAGCAATTCAGATCTTGGTTACGCCAAAGAATAAATAAATACGATGTGCAGATTTTAGAGCGAGGTTTGCCAATGATTGGCATATTCTAATTCGAAGAGGGCGAATTGGTTTAAGGGCAAGTTGTCTCAGAAGCGAATTTCTAGCATTCTCGCGCATGCCTAGCCTGACCTAAGCCCATGGCATCCGGTTTAACCCCACTTATATATTTTCTGCGTGGACCTCAGGGTCCACGCAAACATGACTGTACAAGTGGGTTTACAGGAGAATGTCATGATAATTATGTACATATGATATCTACAATCAATACTTAATTTAACATGTCTTTTCTAGTTTTTAAGCCAAAGTAAATAAATTTATCTAAATTGCATAATTCTTTCACATTTTCAACATTAAAAAGTTGCAACAATTTAAACATTGAAGGTTTTTTCCAACATTCCGATAAACATATAATATCATATGCACACAAAAAATACTTTAATGAATTCGATTTGTTTTCAAAACCACCGTTAATGTTCCATCCAATTATTTTAAGGGCTGAATATTCTCCAGACATCCCTACCGTGGCTTTGGTGTCCTGTGATCTGGTATTTCCATCGCTTGGTCCTGTCTGTAAAGTCTCCCTTCAATATAGAGCCTGTCCTTAACAAAAACTGCCTTCTTGTTATCTTACTTTGCTTTCTTCATAACAGGTAGTTATTTTTTTCCTCCTGTCTTGGATACCTCTAGGGAACTGCTCCGAGATCGACAGGTCTGTGTCTTTCAACTTATAGAAACTCTTACGGACGAGTTCCTTCTGAGGAAATCTTGTGAACTTCATGCACAACAATGGGACGTATCTTACCAGTTTCTTTTCTTCCAATTAACTGTACCTTCATTATAATTTTACAAACAAAGCCCAGTTTTATCACAGAAACAACACAGAGAGTAATTGATAAATAATTCTCGCAGTAGTGAAGCATTTGTAATTATTTCTACATATACTATGGGAAGTCAACAGTTTTGTTGAGGGAAATTATTTTATCGACTGTGTCTAAGGAAAACGGTTTCTCTATACTTTGAGATGAGACTACCATCTCGTTTCTCGAATGTCATTTCATTATTCGATCGTCGGTTTATTCGACTGATAGTCAAATAGTCGAATATTCGTTGACATCCCTAGTTTCTACTAGTGCTATGGTGAATTACGAATCTATAACATTGTAAACAATTCAATATGATGTCGCATTTATTTATTGATTTTTCAAGCTACATGTAGTTAAATCTTTTACCATGGTTTGTGCTTAGCTGGGGCTTAATCAAAACAGGTAAATGAAGCCATATATAAAAGTTGTAAAGTAATTTAAAATTGGTAAATTGTTTTGGATTAAATTAGATTAAAATGCGTTGCGTCAATGATAGCATCACAACATGGACAGCTCTTTAGAGGCTGCTTATTGACATAATGTAGAAGGTCACTCCACTAAAACCTATATACTTACATGTATCCATTGGCATGTTTTTGGTAGCTCTGTTGTGCACATATAGAGTATATTCCTAGAGATATGTATACATGTTGAAATATGCATTGTAAAAATGACATTTTAAACTATAGATGTTAATAATACGTGTATCTTTTTGTTAATATGAAAATCTTAAATTTTAAGAGCAAATAATTGTTATATAACAGTAAAGCGCATTAAACGGATTGATTCAAAATGTACAAGTTGGAACGACTTCAAATCTGGTTTTCTAGTTTTCTGTTATGTCTTAAGATGTAATAAAATAGAATAAAGGTCAAACTAATCCTTTCTACAAATAATTTTGTAGCTGACGTTTAATTCATTTTAACACTGTATTGGTGGGATTATCTTGTCAATTTAAAGAGCAAAAGACTATCAAAAGAATATTATCTTGGACTTTTAAGGTAATAGGGATATTTCAACTTGATTATTTTCAGTTATTTATAATCCGAATCGAATACTTGTTTATTTTCCAAAGAGTTTATGGGAAAGTTACGTTGTACATGTGATATGGTCAGACATTTCCATTTTCAGGGACGCAACAGCTTTATTTCCTTGCTTTGGATGGTAAATTCCAAGAATATGACAGCGTGTTTAAATCAGCATTTTTCGAAGTTTTTAGCTGCAGGAATCATATTATGCATTCCGTCAATCCAAATTGGTATGTCATGAGTATAATATAAACTAGATAAATAATATTTGTAAATTAGATAATTAAATATTTTTTATCAATATGCTATTCATGAACACGTACCTACTTGCTGATACAATTTATTGATAGAATTTATAAGATGGGCATTACAAAGGAATGGTCCACAACATCAGCTTATCGAATAATAGTTGCAATTAGTATTAATATGAATGAAATGAAATGCATACTCGTTAATTGTTTCTACAGAGTCACCAGGTGCATTATTATTATTATTATTATTATTATTTTGGAGAAAGCATCATTGAAGGAATCTAACTGTTTTTTAAACATGTATTTTCATTTTAGGAGTAATTCACAAAATGCTATGGGTACCAAATAAACCTCCTGTGAACAGAAGCGCTTGTCGCTGTAACTGTTTTGATACAATATTTAAAGGTAACGAAAATTATTCTAAAGTACAGTCAAACCTCGTTATCTCGATCTCGATGGGACCGAGAAAAAAAAACTTCGAGATATCGAGCTTAAAATACTTACAGAATAAGTGGTTGGGACTAATGTCTTCCAATTCACTTCAACATATCCATGGTATTCGAGATAATTGTGCTCTCTCTCTCTCTCTCTCTCTCTCTCTCTCTCTCTCTCTCTATATATATATATATATATATGAGAGAAAATGTTTTTTAATGTTGTCAGTAAAGTTTTTCCATATGCTTGTATCTAAATTGTTTTAAAACTTCAAAGTTTTTATAATTGGACCAATAAGAAGATATATTATTTATGTTAAAATGAATGCATTTCTCATTAAGGAATATCTAAAATATGTTTTATTTTCAAATGCAGGTTCGTATGAACAAACGCACAAAACAGGATACAAACACATGTACTTTAATGCAACTCCACAGATGCTCGTCATTTGGATCATGGTGCTTGGTAGCATACTTGTATCTTATGAAACATTAAAACATTTGTGGGACCTCTATCAGAATAGAAAACTAAGATGGCGGATGTTCATCCTTTTTGTTGCTGACGTGTATCCAAATTACTTCTCATTATGGGCATATTTTAATTACATAAATGATGGATATTATGGACAATTTGTTCACCAGTTGTTTTTCACTCTCACGGAACTATTTTCTACGTGGAACATCATTTTGATGTGTTCCACTGAGGCGGAAGTAAAATCGTGGAGGATTCTGTGCATTATAGCCATTAGTTCTATACATATTTTCTTGGGAGGAGTTGATCAGTTTTTCAAACAATTAATTTTATTAAAAGAGAACCCTTCGCAAAGATTTCGGAGTTTAGTTTTAGTGGTCCCTGACCTCTTGCACGTGATACTCCCTTTACAAGAACTGGCTTTAATACGTCATTCATCGTGTAGAAATGCACTTACTCGCACAGAAATAATCAAAATTATTTTGACTGTTCTCACAGGTTTCATAATTGGTAATTATATTTTAAAAGAGGTACAATGAAATGCATACATGTAATTTCAATAAATCATGTGAAAAAGTTGTTTGTGTTTTTACTTGTGAGCTAAGTACACTTAAAGTCTAAGACGGCCTTTTCCGCTGGCAGTCTGAATAACACTTGTTTAGTACTAACTTTAATGCATGTTTGTTTACCTGCAATGATAAAGTGGAGAAAAATGTAAAACAAAAATGCATTCACAGGTAAAACCTGAATCAATAAGGAATAAGATCATATTCTTACAATCGTCTCCATGGAAACAAGAAAAGATTAATTTGAAACGAAATGACATTATAATAAGTGAATACAAATTCTTTTACACAATTTATTGATTCGTTTTGGTGTTCAAAATATTTCCAAAGTTGTACATAGTGCTTTTCATATCAATACAATTTCTGCCCCCACCACATCCTACCCCACCGCCTCCACTTTAAAATGCTCTATTTTTGAAATAGCAATAATTATAGATAGAAACGCGGATATTGATATTTTCAAATTGGTTATCTCAAATACTAATTTACATATGGACACAAAATTTGGATCTAAATTACTGATAAATAGCATCCTGGAAGTTCGCTTCCAACAATGCAATATCTCCTTTTTAGCTTACCTTAGTCGAAAGCTCAAGTGAGCATTTCCGATCAAAATTTTGTCCGTTTTTTTTTTTTTTTACAATTTCATCTTCTCCAGAACCACTGCATGGACCAATTTCATCCAAACTTGGCAAATAATATTCTTTATAAAAAGGGATTAAATTTTCTTCAAATGAAGGACCAATTCATCTTCCAAGGGGAGATAATAGAGAAAAAATAAATCAATATTGGGTCGGGTCATTTTAAAACTTCTTCTCAAGAATCACTTGGCCCGAAAAGATGAAACTTATATGAAAACTGTCCAACTTAATGGAGATTCAAGTTGGTTTAATTAAATCATGACCACCGGGGTTAAGATGGGGCCACAATGGACTTTTCAAAATTTTACATAGGAAAACATAGGGAAAATCTTCAAAATATCTTTTTTCTCAAGAACAGCAAAGCCAAGATTAGTCATGTTTATAGGGAAACATCCTCAGATAGTGTAGATTCAAGTTTGTTCAAACCACGACCCCCGGAGGTACATGTAAGAAGGGGCACAATGGACGATCAAAGTTTAACATGCAATGTATACAGAGAGAAATTAAAAAAAAATATTCTCAATAACAGCAAAACCGTTATTAATCATATTTATATGGAAGCATCCTCAGGTAGAGTAAATTCAAGTTAACTTTGTTCAACACCTGCCCCCCGGGGGTAGGGTCGGGCCACAATGAGTGATCAAATTTTTAGAAAGAAATTTACATTAAAAAATCTCCAGAACAGCAAAGCCACGACTAGTCATATTAAGTCGTGGAAGCATTGTCAGGTAGTGTAGATTCAAATTTGTTCAAATCATGACCCTTGGGGGTAGGGTTGGGCAACAATGGGCAATCTAAGATATACAAGGGAATACTCGTATGTAGGAAAAATCTGTAAAAATCTTCTCAAGAACAACAAAGCCATAATTAGTCAAAATAATACAGAAGTATCCCCAGGTATTGTAGATTAATTTTTTTCCAAATCATGATGCCCCAGGGGTAGAGAGGGCCCATAACAGGGGAACAAAATTATATAAAGAAAAATATAGGAAAACAATCATAAAAATCTTCTCAATAACATTAAAGGCATGATTAGTTATATTAATTCAGAAGCATCCTCGGGACTGGTAGTGTCAAGTCTGTTCAAATCATATTCCCCAGGGGTAGACTGGGCCACAATAAAGGATCAAATGTATAGAAAAATGTATAGAAATGTTAAAAAATCTTATAAAGCCATGATACGGGTAAGTTAAAGAAATAGGGAGGCATCCTCAGTTAGTGTATATTCAGTCTAAACAAATTATGCCCCTTTGCTCCGGTGGAGGGGGTGTTTGCAATCAATTTTACATCTATATTTAATCTTTTCAATACTGAACTGATTTCAGCTTTTTCCAAGCCAATGTACTCAGGTGCGCGATGTGGCCCATAGGCCACTTGTTTTGATATATTTGCTTGTTTTTTTTTTTTTCTTTTTAAATATATTTTTGTTTTGTTTTGTTTATGTTTTGCCATTTCATCATCCCAAGGCAGAATTTGTCTGTACTGTAGCCTTAGTGCACATGGTATATTTAGAGTGATTTCCCTTGTCGTCTGAAGCCCGGTGGCTTGATTGCTTTATAATGTGAGGAGGACTCCTCCATGTAAACCCCTCTCAGGCCTCTGTGTGGAAATATATAAAGGTAGGTAGAGGAGTAAAATCATATTTGAGTAATTATTAAGTCAGGACATAAAATAACACCATGTTGAAATACATTTACTCTTGAATTGGAAATTGGTTTGTAAAATTTCTCAAGTTTCAGTCTAGATTCTTACTGTTTTTTAAATGCCCTCAGTGGAGTTAAGCTTAATCTCGTATTTACATTATTACGATCAACAACATGCTGTGACCGTCGAAGTGTGACTTTAGAAAGAAAAACAAAATAACGTCGTTAATTCCTATCGATATTTCAATTGTTTACATACTCCAGTTCGTTTTTCCCCCACCATTATTACATAATGGTTTTAATAAATATCTTTTATTTTATATTTTAGGTGCTTTAGATGGAGTAAAAAGATTTGTTTAGATTTCTAGTATAATGAGATGGGCTTATTGGGTAGGAAGTGGATTTATGGAGAAAGTAATTAAACCTAATATGAATATAGTATCAAGACTAATATTTTAACTGCAATAACATTTAGATCTTGTCTGAACGATTTAAAAATACTTGAGAAGAATGTAAAGAGACTATACATAGAAACTCCTTCATAAATACATGATATTGACTGTACTGAAATCGATTTTTATTTGATCCTAAGTCCCTCTTCTTATAACAATCTAATTTTATCGGAAATGCGAAAGAAAAAAAAAATTAAAAAGTAAATAACTTAAGTCATCAGAGCTATTATTGAGGACGTAAATCCCTACACTACCTTTGCTTTCCGCTCTATGATAATTTGGCAAAATCATTGAGGGGAGGAGCACCCCCCCCCCCAGTCCCTATCGGTCTGCGTGTTTTACTGATTGTATAAAATCAACTACTTAATTATTTTTTTATAGACCTAGGCCATGACTGTCATTGGAATCTATCAAATTCTTCCAAGAAGATGTTAATAGGCGCGGATGCAGGAATATTTTCCAGGGGGGGGGGGGGTCCACCCCAGTCGAAACATTTCCAACCCAGAAATTTCTTGACAAGCAAAAACAAACAAACACCCCCCTTCTCCCCGAAAAAAAAAACAACGTGAAATCCATACCCAAAAGGTGAAAAAAAAAAAACTATTTCGTGGTGGTGATGGTGGAGTCCACGTTTTCTACTAGGGGGCCCAAAGTCATTTTTATTTACTTTAGTATATACTTCTGATAATTACGCAAATTCAAGAGGGGAGTTCCGGACACCCCCCCCCCCCCCCCCCCCCGATCCGCGCATGGTTAAAGTGTTATAATTAGCAATCGCTACATTCTTATGCTTCCTGTTGCAGAATGTTGCGATTGAAAAAAAATATGTAGATTTCGTGACATCTCTGGTAAGCTCATCTTTAATTTTTTTCACTCGAAAGCTTTCAAAGAAACAAATTATTAAAATTTTTACACAAGTTCGATTCGAACCGGCATTTCACAATTTCATTTTTGTAATTATAGATAAAGCATATAATAAGTCTCATCGAATGCGCTATCCTCATAAGACATATTTTTTACGTGTAGAGTTTATTGTGAAGATCATCAAACATAAATTATCATGTAACCCAACATTTAAAATGCCCTTCTCCTGTCATACATTTAAAATTCCTTTTCCTGATGTAAACGTCGGTTTTATAGGACACACCCCAGCCTTTCTTTTTTTTTCTCCGGTTCATTCGTTCATTCTGTATACCCAAGGTAAAAAATCTACACCATGTCACAGTAGTGGCAGGTTTATTTTTAATGCTATTATTGATTTGCAATTACATCTATGACAATACATTTTACATATATGTCTCTTGCGGTGGAGCAAATTTTATTAAAGATCATAGAAAAAGGTATGTTAGTATTATAATTAGTTCACTTAATAGTAAGAACATAAATATAAGGGTAGTTTAAAAACTGTTTAGTACATGTATTTTCGAAAAGGCCATATCAAATTTGAGCATCTCTCTCTCTCTCTCTCTCTCTCTCTCCTCTGCGTGTGTATAGAAAAGTACTTCGTGTCATGCACATTCAGTAAATTTTGAGTCTTTTTGGTTCTTTTACAATACACGTTAGATCGGTAGATACTGAAATTTATTTGCACGTATCCTTCTTATCTTGCAGGGAGTATATATATATATATATATATATATATATATATATATATATATATATATATATATATATATATATATATATATATATATATATATATATATATATTCATTCAAAATTTTGAACCTTTATCATGGCTCAACACTATTATCCCAGTTGAGGGCCATAATTTTATCATGTCAAAAATTGTATCAAGAAATAGGAATGTTTAAGAATTCGTATTCTGCTGGAAAAGATAACGGATGCGAACTCTTGATATAAAAATAAACATAGATGCTGGCCACAAGGGTTGAACTTTTCACTTGTACGGTTCAAAGAAAATGATTCATTAGCATGCGTTTGTTTTAACTTGTTTATGTAAACCTATATGGTTTGAGACAATTATTTTAATCAGAAAATATACATAATTTATTAAACTATTTACAATGTACTTAAGATAGAGTGCATTGACCTATAATCCAATCGGGATATGAAGTGTAAGACTTTTCCGTAAGAATAAACAAACCTGGTAATCGGATTAAGGACAATGTAAGCTACCAGGATGTTTATCTATCTTGGGACGACGATGCAGGAACAGTAACGGAACATTGCTAGAAATTCTCTTAACATTATATTAACTTTTGCACAATACTAGGACGTTGGACTGAAGCTTATTAAAGTTTATGTTTCAATTACAATTTATTTCATAAATTTCCAGGATTTTGTACAAATTTATTAAATAACTTGTTTACTTGAATCTGATTTGTCTATTTCATACGTAAATGAGTATTATGTATTGTACATTATAAAAATAAGATCTACGGGACCTTCGGGGTCCTCGCCCACTATACGATCACCAATTGTTTTCATTATAAATTTCATTAAAATAAACTCTTTGAAGCAAAAATTTTACTTGTCATTGACTCACATTTATCAAAAATATAATTGGTTAGAATGAAGGAGCAACAAATAGTATTTAAGTGACCAGAGGTCAGTTGTTGATATGAATTAGCTACGACACTTAAATTTAAAGATTATGCAAAAGATTGAAAATGGTTTTTAAAATGCATTAGGAAATTAAAGAGTGTTTGAGGACGGAATAATGTCAATTTAAATTCAAATCAAAATTTAAAGAAGTTGTTGCAAATTTTGAAGAAATAACAAATATAATGAGGCATGTGCAGGGGTATAAAGACAGCTAGGACGGACACAGTCTTTACTGGTTAATCAGATTGTGTCTGTCTCTTGTTGCATTTTATACGGATAGGACTTATGCGTTTTTTGTAAAATTATTTAAAAATATTTTCGGATGGCGCTTTTTTTTTTACAGGATTAAATTATCTTATATTATAAATAGTAATGTTTATTTTAATGTTAGTATTTAGTGTATTATCTGTTGTAATTATAAAAATTAAAAATGGATTGTTCAATTTAATAAAGAGTGGTGAATCAGATTGTGCCTGTATACAGGTTGGGTAACAGCGCCACTCCCCAAAACCCTTGAAAGGCTCTGGCTAGGAAGGTCCACAAATATTGAAGAAGGAATTTTAACATCCAAGAGTCATTTCGCATAAATAAAACCTTACCTTGGGTCACTCCTAGGGCTGGGACGATATATCGAGATATCGATAATATCGATTCTATGTGAGGATGATACGCATATCGATACGCATGAAGAAATATCGAAATATCGCAAAAAAAATTCTGACTAATGTTTTTCTTTGCGTACTTAACATTTTGGGTTTAATATATAAAATAAATATCCTAAATATGAATATGAAATACATAATAATTAACACCACTTATGTAAAATAATTTGTTGTACAACAGATATACAACTTCTTTGAATAAATTATTCTAATTTGTGAAGGAATGTTTTGTTCATTTCAATACAAAAAAAGATTTTATAACCAATTCAACATATCGTGATACATATCGTATCGTGGCTCAAATATCGTGATAAATATCGATATAGAAAAAGTTGTTTCGTCCCAGCCCTAGTCACTCCGACCAAGCTCGGGGTCCGCTTATACTGTCCTCTCACTTGCATAGCAAACTGTCCCGGGTTAACAAGATTTCAAGAAAACGCATGATCGGCCCAATGTCATTCTGGACTCTGATCATGACGGACTCAAAGACTCCTGTGTTTGAGGTACATAAGCTGGAGTCCAGAATGAGGCTGACCCGGTTCTGATAATTTCCACAGACTGCGTACTTATGTTTCATTATGTATCATGTTTACAGTGACTAACCGGCATGATCGATTTCCTTTAATAAAGGGAAAAGTTATGATTCTGTAATGAAAGAATTCAGTAAATGCCTTATTCGTGGATAATGGATTTGTGTTTTTTCTACTGGTATGAAATACTGGATGTTTCATAGGATAAAAAACTGAAATCCAACATGAATTAACTTTAAATTGCAATCTTTGTTATGAAGATTTTTCAAAAATTTAGTTGCAATTACTTCGGAAAGATTGTTCAATTTAATGAAAGTTTTGTTCAACTGTAATGATTTAAGCAGGACTGCTCCAAGTTTTTGGAGAAATGAAGAGAAATATAATGAAGAGTATAGGAGCTTACTCTCGTTGGAGTTAGACCTCCTTTGCATCATAGAGCGCGGTTGGCGTCTATCATTAGTCATTACACACTTGGTAAAAATCAATAGTGGCTACTTCCGCTATAAAACGTTCATCTAAATTCTTACAGAAGCAGCCAGTGCATGTGCTCCGGGTTAACATGTCATATCGGCATTGAGGAAGGGCGGTCAAGTCGATATTTACAAGATGTTGGAACTAGTAACAGACATGGCCACCTCTAGAAGTGTTAAATACCATAGCCTAATGGCTGCAGCGATTGTTTGTGTCATCCCTTTCATTCACATAGGTAAGTAGTAGATCATTTAAACACAAGGAAATAGACTCTTTCATCTTTAATGGATCTTGGATTGGGGGCATCACAAGACATCATGTAAACACATAACGGCTTAATACTGATGTATTTTTTAAGCTTGGGGATATCTCGGAAATAACCAAGATATACTTCTAAGATATGTCGAACTTATGTGTTATGTATACAGCCTACAAGTTGTAATATTATTTAAACAATAAAATGTTTTCTTTTGTTGTTAGAACGGGAATCAATGTCGCAGCTCTTGCAGAAAAAAAAATACATAACCCGCGTAAGCGGGTTATATTGTATTATAGATGTGTATGTCATTGTATGCATAATTGATGGAAGTGCCGTTGCATGCTCAAGAAATCTGCTTGCATAGTGGCGTTTACTGATGAAAATTACTGGTGTTGTAGCTGTTTCTAAAATTTCCCCATGGACTAATCAAGACAAACTTACTACACACCCATGGTAATACTTATATGATTAAGCTTTGGATGAATTTGGTAATACATGTAACATGTTGCTTCATATTAGATTATTAGTGTTAACGACAGAAAGGAGAATTTATATTTAGATATTTCAACCGAATATGCATGCTTGACAAGTATTTGTACTGAATATGTTTAAGAAAATGGAAGTGAAAATAACGAGGAAGAAAAGAATTGGAAAAATCAACTAAATAAACTTGCTAGAATTTTGATGAAATTTAAATTACAAGTATACAAATGACTTTAAAGTTTGAAGAAATTTACAGCTCCTTGGTCAGTTTTGGCCTTCAGGTACAAACATGCATCAAGGTGAAATGTGAATTTTTATTTCAACTAATGTAAATAGGAGTTTAGAATTGATAGTTTGAATATTTAAAAATATATATATTTACTTGGCACCAATTTAATCATTTCCAGTATGTTTTTCTTTCATCTATCATTTACCTGTATCTAGATCTATTTCTTATCTTTATTTATTTATCTTTATTTATTCATTCATTTTCTTTTCATGGGTCAGTTGTAAATATTATGCATTTTGTAATAATCGAAGTGCCCCACAAATTTATAAGAAATATTCAGTACATACTAGCAAACAGGATTTTAATTTACCTACAAATTGTCTTCACTGATCAGCTTAACAATACCAAACCAAGTCAAATGCTCTTTGCAAAATTCTTTGAGTCATTTAGCATCACAATGTTAACTAGTTATAATTGTAACGGGAACCGTTACAGATGTTCCCCAAACGCTCCCCAACTCCCTTTTGGTGACTTTTTTCCTGTAAGCTTCATTAAATAAGGCAATGAAGTATATTGGTCATTTTTTGCATTTCACGCGCGCGCACGTGCATGCATGTGCAGGATGACCATGTCATCCCGTCTATACTATATATGCATCTTTATATTCTCAGTATCAAAACTTTTCATCAAAAAATATATAAGTTCGGCTAAATCAAGCATATTGGTCATCTTAGCATTGCGCGCACGCGCACATGCATGCATGTTCATAATGACCATGCCATTTTGTGTACACTTATAATATGTCTGTTAATTCATAGTATCAAATCTTTTCATCAAAAAATATAAAAGTTACGGCTATATTAAGTATATTGGTCATTTAACACATTGCACGCGCGCATGTGCATGCATGTGCATGATGGCCAAATCATCTTGTCTACACTTTTAATATATCTATATATTCTTAATATCAAAGCTTTTCATAAAAAAATATATAAATTACGGCTATATTAATTATATTAGTCATTTAACACATTGCACGCGCGCGCACGTGCATGCATATGCATGCATGTGCATGATGACCATGTCATCTTGTCTACTCTTTCTATATATATAAATATTTCGAGTATCAATGCATTTCATCAAAAAGTATAAAAGATACGATATTATCAAGTAAATTGGTCATTTTACGCTTTGCGCGTACGCGCACGCGCATGCATGTGCATGTTGACCATGTCATCTTGTTCACACTTTTAATATATCCTTATATTCTGAGTATCAAAGCATTTCATCAAAAAATATAAAAGTTACAGCTATATCAAGTATATTGGTTATTTTACCCATTGCACCCGCACGCACGCGCAAAATGACCTTTGTTCCGCAAATCTATATAACATGCCTATTAACCCTAAAAAGGTTTTAACTCAATTGGATGAGCAGTTTCCGAGAACACTCGCGGACAAAAAAGTACCGGAGAAGAAATAAGAAGAAAAAAGAATAATAATAATAATAATAATAATAATAATAATAATAAGAAACCGAGTAAAAACAATATGTTCCCAAACTCCGTTTGGGGAACATAATAAAGAGGCATTTGGAACAAAATACAACACAGCTCTAATGGTACCTATTAGAGTGCACGGCCAGTTGTCTGGAGCAAACTGCTACATGTAGTGTACAGAGATCCGGTGACGATAAGATAATGCTTTATGTACAATCAACAGGAAAACATTGATGTAACCATCAATTGTCGCCCGGGAAATAAATAAAGTAAACAATGGAAATGAGTCTTGATCATCAAACCGCTTCGATATGTGTGAAAAAGGCATGCGTCTAAATGATGGAGACGATAGTAGAGACTATTTTGAAAACTTATAGTCGGATGAAAATCGAACAAAAACGATACCCTTTTAAACTTTATCAATTCCTCAAGTAAATGTTGGCTGCATAAAATATAATTTGAAACCAGACACATGCATCACCTATTTTCAAAAATGTTTTTCACTTTAAGATTATAAAACACGAACTGTGTAAAGTACGTTTTTACGTTTTTATGCGATAAGTAAAATTCGATGTTCTAAAAAAAGGGACCTGTCGTTTTTTCGATAGTAAATGATAAGCAACTTTATATATTAAATATGAAAAACATATATATTTTTACAGATTCACTTTGTGGAAGTAAAATTATTGTGTATCTCGTAATTTATAAAGGGAAAGAACATTCTGATAAAAAATCTTTTTAATGTTTAGAAAACCTTTAATTCTGAATAACTTCTCCCACCTCAATCCCCATATACCAACACTTAAACTTATATGTATAGAGCAGCCCGGTCCTCCGGGCTGCAATTACTTCAGTGCGCATGCTCTGAAGCGGGCTCAGTGAAATTAGAAATTTTCATTCAAATTTTTGAACAATGATTCACAAAATGAAATAGAATTTGTTAAAAGAACAGTTCTATACCAAGTTAAGCATTTTACAACTCCAAATATAATACATCATTTTCCTGAGAAGTCGCTGACATTTATCCGGCCCTTGTGCCAGGACGTTTTCAGAAAACGAAGCCAAAAATCTTATTTGCCTTAACTCCTCGTGTACCTTAGTCTCGGTGCTAGCCTATTTGTACACGTCAAAGATATTCTAACTTATAGAATAGCTTTCCTCTGGACCAAATATACTTTTTGAAAAACTGCCACTGCATGGCTATCCACAGTTTTTATTTATCAATAACATACATGTACATGTCTATGTCGTTTTAATAGATAGTATAATATCCTAAAGAAAGTGTTCATTTTCAATCAATCAGGTGCAGCCATTTTTAACAATTTTTAAAAAAAAATTTATGCGAAAATTTCATACCGTGGTAGTGTATTAACATTTGCTACTGTAGATCACCAATTTTCGCGTAACCTTATTTCGCGAGATGGTCATTTGGTATTTATAAGCGAGACATAATTTTTACGAATTTTGATTGTTGTTCTGTATAATCAATAGAAATACAAATACACGCGAGAATTAAATTTTCGCAAGCGGACAGTTTCGCATAATAACGCGAAAATAAAGTTCTCGCGAATAAAAAGTGATTTACAGTAATATAGGACCTTATCCAGACCAGAAATATCACTATGCTTCGTAGTTTCTGAAACAAACAAGTCTAATTGCTGTATGCTTAATTGTTACCTTGCAGGTACAAGTATGTAGAAGCCGTAAAATAATTATGTAACTACTAATATAATTAATAAAAAAAAAATGCGTTTTCTCTTTTGAATTCGTTGTCAATTATATCTATTTAAAAAAAAAAGAAGAAATAACTGAATTCGGCTAGAGAAAATCGCTTTATACTTTCATCAAAAAAGAAACTCAAGGTCTTCATTATAGAAATAGTCTGAATTAAAGCGATTTTATGATTTTGTTTCATTTTCAGGAATAATCCATAAAATGATCTGGGTTCCCAACAAGACTCCAGTAAATCGAACAGCATGTCGGTGTGATTGCTTTGACACAGTATATAAAGGTAATGTTAAAGAAAACTACAGCAGACCTATTTTGTAGCTTCATCTCAATGAAAGATAAATATCTCAAATCAAACAACCCCACCCAACCCCCTCAGTTTGATACATAACAGTTCCAATTATCTTTGTTATATCATCCTTGAATCAGAAAATTCCAGCATACTTTCAGCGAAATTTATCCGATAATCCGCTAAGATTTTGTTTATTCTATAAAGTCAAACTCACTGAAACCCTTCGCAAAGAAGTTATATTTTCATTATTTTCGATGTTTTCAGGGACATATGAACGACCAGGGAAAGCTGGCTACAAGCACATGTATTTCAATGCCACATTCGAGATGATAGTCATATGGATTATAACGCTTGTAACAATCATCTTATCCTACGAGTCTTTCAAACATCTTATTAACCTTTATGTTAATAGAAACGTTAGATGGCGAATGTTGTTGTTATTTATTTTAGACATTCATCCAAATTATTATTCTTTTTGGTCATATTTCAATTACATGAATGATGGATTTTACGACCAATTTTACCACCAGTTATTTTTTACGATAACGGAACTATTTTCAACGTGGAATGTCTTCCGGTTGTGTTCGAAAGATTCCAAGATGGAGTCGGGATCCGTTATATCCATAATCGTGATAAGTTTGGTGCATATTCTCATTGGTGGAGTTGATCAATTTTTCGTCCAACTGATATTATGGAGAGATAATACCTTTCAAAGATTTAGAAATTTAGGTTTCCTACTGCCGGATGTTTTACATGTGATTTTAACCGTCAAGGAGTTTACCAAAGAAAAACAAACATCATGGAAATACGTGTTCACCACGGAAGAGCTCAGATTTGGATTAATTTTTGTAGTTACCGGTTTTGTTGTAGGAAAACTATTGCTTAGATGAAGGTGTTCTCGTTTTTTCTTCATTTTATTAGTATTGATGAGTAATATTCCAGCTTGCTAAAAAGTGTACGGTTCATCGATATTTTGATAAGAGAGACAACTCTTTAGGGGATAAATGTCTAGTATTACATTTTCAACATTGAAATACTGGTATTTATTTACTGAATAAAAGTCATATTCTGACACAGTGTGAAAAGGTATCAAAGTGGTATTCTAACAGTGTGAGAATATCAGAAGTGCGGCAAAACTCTCCATTTTCCTTCCCTTAACGAAGAGTGTTTTTAACAAAATTCCTGGCCTGTTACATGTATAAGATTAGAGTTAATGAGCCATCCTGAGAGAGACTTATTATAATAGTTATACTGCCAAAGTTTTTCCAAATATGTCTTTTGAAAACCATGTTTACAACGCTTTTCAATCTTGCAAACGCTTAGCTATATTGTCTCAACCTTCAACTATGATGTCACAGCCTATGGCACTGTGTTACGAAAAGACAGAAGTAAAGGGAAAATCTAAGAAAATGTAATAAACAGAAAATTCAATGTTTTATACTCGTGAGACAGGATTTTTGTTTATATTTTCACTAGTGCTTCGCACTCGAGAAAATATAAAAAGAAAATCCTGTCCCACTCGTGAAATAAATTTCAAATTCATCTACAAAACAATGAATATCCTCTATTTATTCTTACCTAACTTTGTCAAGTGAAATCTTTTTGTCTGATTTGGCCACGAACGTTTTGCTTAAACTGATTTTATTATACCCCACGCAACAAGTTGCGTGAGGTATAATGTTTTTGACCCGTCCGTCAGTCAGTCAGTTTGTCAGTCAGTCAGTCCGTCAGTCCTGTTGTTTTGTCAGCGCAACTCCTCATAAACCACTGCACAGAATTTCGTCAAACTTTGCAGTTATATAGAACAGAATGTGTAGATTGCATATTACCAGGAAATTCCGATTCCTTTATTTTTTCTGAGAATTTCGGCACTTTTCAACTTAGATTTTTGGCCATATCTTGAATATAGAGATGAACAGTTTGTCAGTGCAACTCCTCTTAAACCGCTGCACAGAATTTGGTCAAACTTTGCAGATATTTATTACACAGTGTGTAAATTTGCATATTACCAGGAAATTCCGATTTCATTATTTTTCTGGGAATTTCGGCACTTTTCAACTTAGATCTTTGGCCATATCTTGAATATAGAGATGAACAGTATGTTAGTGCAACTCCTCTTAAACCGCTGCACAGAATTTAGTTAAACTTTGCAGATATTTAGTACACAGTGTGTAGATGTGCATATTACCAGGAAATTCCGATTCCATTATTTTTGCCTGAAGAATTTTGCCTATTATTGAAGAAACTTTCCAGCTAGGTAATAAGGAAATCCACTGGAATCAGCTTTTGTAACGAAATTTTATGTGAAATATTTTATGACCTTAGATCAAAATATTATGATTTAACACACACAAACAAAATCTTGAAATCTTGGATAGATCTTCCCCCCCCCCCCCCCCCCCGACACACACACAAATTGGTGCTTTGCCTTAAATTATTTTATAAGTATAGTATATAAACAAATTCATATGACTACATCATAATTTTGTTTCCATCAATTATTTAAATGTGTAAATTGTCATGTGTTGGACATGGACTTACACTCATTAACAAATCGAAATCACTGAGGAATTTAAATAACAGTTTGTCAGCATAACTCCTGCACTGAATTTCCTGAAACTTTGTAGGTATTTCAGATATAATGTATAGATTTGTATATTACCAAGAAATTTTGATTCCATTATTTATCTAGAAACTTCAGCTCAATTAAATTTGTAACATACAAATATATGCAAGAAGTTTTGATGTGATGATTTTTTGCAAGTAATGCCCCTTTTTGAATTAAACTATGTATTTAAAATCCACTGTGCCATTCAGTGCGTGTTGCATTGTCGAGTTTTGGGGGAGCGTGGGGTATGTGAGCTTGCTCACTTTTTCTTTCATTTTCTTATAAAGAACATTTCTTTTGGAAAGTCATAAACACTAAAGCAATATTGTATATTGAGTAAATAGAGTGATCATGAATCTTAATTTATTCATTACGTTTCATTTTGTAATAACTTTCTAAAACATGTATTTCTGAGTAAATTGTAATAACTTGTCTTGTTCATTGATCTCTGTCACATTTGATATTCATCTCATCACGAAGAATTACATTGTAATAAAATGATATTCTTGAAACTTCATTTAAAGACACACATTTAAATGCACATGAGCTGGTGATTACAATTCAATTTGTAGTTCCAAAATCTGTTGGCCTTGGAATCTGGATTGTATTAATAGCGGGAACTATGCTGGGCAAACCACCTGCCAACATGTTAGGTTGAATAAAAAAAAATCAATCACATAATGTATTGTATTTTGACCATGAACAACCTTTACGCAGAGTTTGCGACCATTGAGATATTGCTGAGTAATGAAAAAAATTGTCAGATTTCTTAAGAATCTTTCAAATGTCTACAGGACCTCGCCATGATCTCTCAGTGATCTCGCAAGGTCTCTACAGTATATCCATGGTCTTTGAATCTCAGGGTGGTCCAAAAGTGATTACATTTCTCTTGGTCATACATGGTCTCACAGCTACATAGTAATTCTCCGAAGATTGGTCACAGAACAGTCGCCCAGCAAACTCCACAAGGTTGCTACAAAGAGCAATGTAACCACGATCTCTAAAAACATTTATCAGTATACGCTCCTTGAGCGCCTAGATCGCCCAGTAATTTCGACAGATCGCCATGAAAAGTGCTGATCGATATCGCAAACTTTTCACAACACAACAAGCAAATTTTCTCCTTTTTTTTCCTCTGAATAAATTCCTACGGATCAAATAATTTAAGTCAATAAACATTTCTGGATTCCTTTTATTTGTTGCTCTACCTGTGCCATTTTGTAAAAATTGTATAAAATATCCCAATCACAGATTTTTTTAATTAACAATATACACTTACTCACTTTTTATTCGTTGTCTGACGTCATGGCGTCAGACAGTACTAGATTTAGCCAAAGCTTGTTGGTCAAGTCGTTCAATAGAATTATTGTGATAACTCGATCTTAGAAACTTCATTCTATCTTAACTATCAATTTTGAAAACATGGGGGTTAATGGCTAAACATCCAAACAAACCAAAGCATTGGACCTAATTATTATCACATTACACATAACATAACATTTGCCCACTCTCTTATACATTACAATCATTCATGTACGTCCAGCAAAACAACAGGAATCTGGTCGATCAGATCAACATATATGCCGAATATCCTTATCAGATTAACTAATAGATGTTTATTTTCAATGCATACAGTCTTTCTACCTTAATTAAGAAATACACATATGCGTAACTTTGCTGACGTTTGCTCATTTAAAACAAGTTTTTGATTAAAAAAAAAATTCCCCCAACTGTTCACGAATTTAACTAATGTTTTGATTTTTTAATATGTGTTTTATCTTTTTCTTTCAAAAGCAGTGGTTATATTTATTTATCTAGGAAAAGGCTAGTCGGAAGAATTTTCACGGGGAGGGAATCCACAACCAAAAATTTCAATAGAGGAGGGGCACTACTATGGAAAAATATCAAGTAAAAAAAAATTATCATGAATTTCATACGTTATTATTTACTTGAGTTATGGGAATCAAGCATAAAGTAGCATATTAAGTGTTTTTATAGCATATAATTACAAGTATATATACAATGTATCAGCAAAATACGGGGGGGGGGGGGGGGGAGTTCCTACGGCCAAGAAAAAAAGAAAATTACAGGTAATATTTGTCAGTATAAATAGAATAAATTCATAACTGAGTTTTATTTCATGTTGATGCCGCGGGATTGAACTTTTTTTTGTTTCTTAGCAAAATAACTTATTTCTGGACCCAGAATGATGTTGATTACGCTGGATTCAACTTTTCTTAATTCTTCGTATAATAATAAATTTTGCTCACGTCAGACCAGCTTTTTAAGAAAGCTAATACTTGTTAGAATTTTATTTTTAAGTTTTTATGCATGACCATCTATATCCTGCGCATAATTTTATTATGAAAGACTCTTTACAGCAATAACCAGTTTTGTGATTTTTTTCTCATAAATTATACATAAATATATTGAAAAAAAGGTGTCGTTAAAAATTAGTGATGAACAATAAACTATATCCTTTATTCTGTTGAAGCGACTCTCAATGTTTTTTATCTAACTCTTAGAAGTGTAATCACCTCTTAAAATAAATTGTCTATAACCAAGTCCCGATAGCCTTATTTAGACACTATAGACACATAGACGTAAATTAAAGCTGACCACAATAGCGTTAAACAGGTCGGGTACACTACCATGTATGGAAGGTAGTTTTCAACACGTGACGATGTTGACGTCAAACCCTTTCTCCAATCAATTGAATGAGTCGCAAAGCATGACGGTCCACTACGTGTTTACGATTCAATAGCAATATGTGGTTTTCGTCGGTTTACTGCATAATATTTACTTGGTCACGGAAAAACCGTAAAGCTTCTTTTTTACTTTATAAGGCTGAAATTGAAAGATTACATTCCGAAGACACTGTTCCATGCTCACATGTAATATCTGAAAAATATCTATGCACCTTGTACTACTGTCTCTAAAACTATGTACATGTATATCACGTGAAAAAAAAAAACAAACCTCACACCCAATGCTTTATCGACACAATGTCACCTACGTCTCTGTAAACAATAGTTTTATGCTGTTGTATTACAAGTTGATATAAGGCTTCATAAAGCAAATTTTGTAAATGTGAGCATAGAAATTAAAGATTATACATCATTTTCAATATTTCTTTCATAAATATCAAAAAAGAAGTTAAAAAAGTTTCCAAGGGACTATTCAAGTTTTCCTTTATTTTCAACACAACTGAGTTCGTATTGATACTTGTAGTAGCCCATAATGCACTGCGACTCATTCAACAGTCGGTAAAGTAAACAGATATCTAATTTGCATGCAAAGTTATGCTGACGTAAGAAAATCAAGTGGTCTCGACCTGTTAAAGGTCTTTAAGCGCCATTAATGTAGTAAGGTCAGATTAATAAAATTTATTAAAATATTAAATGTGTTTGTTTATGTTATTTCAATGTTTACCTGGCCATGTGCTTGTGTTGTGTTTTGTGTTCTGTGTAGTGTTTTGTCCAGTTTGGTAGTGTCATATGATGTATTATTATTATAATTGAGGTCTTGCCCTGTTCTGCTATTGGTTAAGTCATTTTGGTCAGTCAGGTGGTACATTTATCCCGTGCAGTTCATGCTTTTCACTTTCTAGCCAGACCTTGGTCCTGATACATGTAGCAGCAGGTTAGATTTCTCTTACTAATTTTACTAATTTTGTTGTTTAAATTAATTCTTTATACTTTTGACTATGACATTTAAAGTTAATATAAAGTTTATCTAAAGCTTAAGATTTGAATAAATTAATTATTTTGCTTGATTAAAAGACTTATTGGTTTTAAATAATCTGAATGTTAAAAACTACATTTAAGTGTGTATGCAGCACCTTGAACTGTTTTATATTATTTTGATGACTAGGTGCTGGGTTACCATATGACAAGTTGTTGTAAATATATAAATCTGAATCAGTAAGCCTCCAGACACATTGTCTTTGGTAAGAACATGTATTATTTATTTTAGATATTTTTATTACTTTGAATTGATAATGAAAGTATTGGTTATAAAGTATGTTTGACAAATATTTTTGATTTACCAAGCTTAATTACCAAAATCCATTTTTACCTTTATTTTTTATGTTTTATCTGTAAAGCCCTATAAATCTGTTCAGTTAAAATTAAGAGTTATTGCCCTTTATTCAGAGTGCTGTACATACTGTATGATGAAGGAAAGTATAATGTTGAGCATAATGTTATACCATTGTATTTCATGTGATATATATATGATTGTTTGTGTTTGTAATTATTTGTTTTGTAGATTTACATGTTTTTATAATATATTTTCAATTCTAGGGCTCAATTCATCAAGATGTACTAAATAAAAGAATAAAACCCATACAGCAGTCTTATATTTATTGGACCTGTAACATTAATTTCTCTTCATTCATCGTTCTTTCTTGAATCCCTATATAAACCGCTCACTGGTCACGATTCAATGTTATATGCTTTTACGGTTTCACCTGTATGGGTGATTGTACATATAAAATATCCGTAACATAAGTGTCTACTGCGTGCTTCTTCCCCGAGAGGAGAAAAGTTAAAGCTGAACATGACTCGTAAATAGGCATGCGCCATTTTCGATAATACTATCTACACATACGATATCAGCACTGGGGTATACCCTTTGCGTTCGTTACACCTGACTGCTTTATTGTCACGGGTATCGACGTGGAATGGCGACCCGTGTTCGTGCTGGTTATCTCGCATTACTTTTGTTTACATTTTATATTGCATGCAGTTACGTGTATTTGTGTATGTTTGTATACTGCACTGACCTGTGCAACTGTTGTAAATTTCTTTGGTATCTTACTCTCTTGCATTAGAATAAGTACACAGTTACTTTTTGTCGCTACCCAGTGCTGTATAGCATACGTCTGTCTACACAGGTGACGATTGATTACACTGAACAGTGACTAAGTAAGCGGCTTTACATAGGGGTCCTCAGATATAGCGAGAGACCAATCGAATATGGTGGGCAAATTCCTTTTACGAATCGTGTTCAGCTTTATTCAATGAATATGACACCAATCAGTACGTAGGTCACTGCAGTTCAAACAAACACAAATACATGTGAATTGCAATAAAATGTAAGGCAATGTAAGTTAGCGCTCATTTCGAAATTCTATAAAGGTAGCCAGAAAGCAAATCGGATGCAACGAAAGCCGAGGAATACCCGAGTGCTGATCCCAGAGACAGGAAAACTAATAAGGAGTATGGCTATATACGAGTTGTGTTTAGCTTTAACCTAAGACTGCTTGGTAGAAACTTCATTTCTAGCTATGCAGGTAAAATGCACGACCAACCCAATTGTCTTTGTTAATGTACCCAAAATGTCATGTGATACCCTCAATAAGATACAGTTTTGATCTTGAAACAGATGAACGAACGAACGAAAGTTACCAGCAAAAAAGAATAATTTTCACACCACAAACAAATACTTGTATACAAGATGTATGCAAATGTATTGAATGAAAAATACTAAAAACAAAAGGTATGAAATATTGGACTGTACTTCAACTTCCCATCTTTTGTTGAAAGCTGTCAGCTTTGCTTATGAATCGTTTGTAAAGTAAAAGTTGAGATGTAATGAAGGAGAAACTTCAGGGGAACTGGACAACAGCATATTCGAGAAGAGGTGTAAATCAGATGTGGAAACTTAAAAACTCAAAGGAACTTTTTGAAAATTTGAAATCAAAAAATTTTGCTAAAAATGATTAACATCAATCAGGTCTTCCAACAATCTGTTGGAATTCCCATGGGTACTAATTGCGCCCCGTTATTAGCAGACTTTCTTTTATATTCATATTCATATGAAGCAAAATTTATTGAATATCTACATAAGAAGAAGAAAACACTGGCTGTGGCCTCGATATTTAGATATATCGACGGCGTATAATCAATTAATAATAGTTACTTCCATTCATATGTCGACTCGATATATCCCAGTGAGCTTGAAATAAAAGATACCAAAGAGTCTGACACATCTGTTTCATATTTAGACATATTAATAGATAAAGACGTTAATGGCAACGTAACCACAAAGCTTTATGATAAATGTGATGACTTCAATCGTCAACTTCCTTTACTTATGTAGCAATATATCCTTATCACCTGAATATGGGGTTTATGTCTCTCAGTTGATTCGATACGGAAGAGCATGCTCTACGTATGAACAATTTCTAAAAGAAGGCAAGCTATTGATAAAGAAGTTGATGAAACAAAGATATCAACAGTCTCGTTTGAAGTCATCATTTCGCAAGTTTAATGGTCGATACAATGCCCTTGTCAGCACATACACAATCTATCGTTGAGTCAAATGCTGACTGACGTTTTTCATACTTATTGTTAGGCCATAATTTATTTACTGAATTGTATACGGACTTTTCCAGTTTTTTTCAATTATGACAAGAAGCACACGGCGGTTGTAACCGGTTGGTAGGATATGCTCACTCCTCCATGGTACCTCTGAATTTTGAGATCCATGTTTGCTCTGCTCCAAATTTGTATTGTTTCATTGGACTTTCGAGATTGAATACTGTTCTTTATCTTCATATTTCATGAAAATGATTCATACTAGTTGTGTAAAAGTTTCACCAAGTCTAACGCTTATCAAAATAAATATTTAACTTTATTTCATTTTACAAACAAAACTTGTTAGCAAGATTTTTTTGTCTTCTTAAATACTTACCCTTTGAAAAAATTGTTATTTATTGTTCTGCTGTTTATAAATGCAAATATGCAAGGTCTACAAGGGGCCTGTAAATTGAGTATTTGTTTGTATAATAACCACTAGAGGAAAACACACTTGTCAATCCTTTTTAATTGTACTAAAGATAAATTTCTTATAAAGGTTAAATTGTGTCATTCTTAACATCCTTTTCAAATTGTGCAAGTGTCATGAACGTGGATATTTGAACCTACTGCTTAAATTGAAAAATTGTGAAACCTTAATTCAATAAGTTAGACGATCATTATAATGTTTAAATCAACATATTCTGTCATAGTTACTACAGTTTTACTTACATGCTCGTTTTTGAGTAAGGATATATCTGTATTCTGTAAGTATTTGCTTACATATCAGAAATGTAATAATTATTTGAAACATAGGTAAAACAGATAATTTGGTAAAAGCTCTTCCTACGTTTCATTTGAAAAAAAAATCAGCATTGCTTTATCTTAAATTATCAACAGATTACTCTCAGAAAAGAGTTAGATTTTAAGCGTGGAATTAACGGTTGCAGAACGCTTTTGTTCTTATTTGCGTATAGGACATGCTTCTGTCAAAGTGAGTTGTTACTGTATACCGTTATAGGGCAATCAATTTCTTTACTTTTAGCACCAACGTCCTGATACCATTTTCAGAAAATGCATGTTATGTGAAATTATGAATCAAAATCATCAATAATAATGAAATTCAGAAATAAAAAAAAAATAATACTGAAAAAATGATTTATGGATATTTCGTCATACTTTTGTTTAAGGGTTTATTAAATACGCATATTTTCTCTAAAAACAGTCATATATTAACAAAAAGTTATACATGTAGCTATAAGTAGAAATATTGTTTAAACCAATGCAACATTGACAGAGACATCAGAGAAAATTGCGACTATCTTATACTTGAGAATACATGTGTTTCTCGACACGGACAAATTTTTTACATGTAAATCAATATTTATTTTTGATGTAAATACACGCAAAATATGATCATTAGTTTAATATGGATTTCAAAAGGACACATCGCAAATAACAGGTTTGGCGAATGATAGTTGATTTACAGTTTTATAAAGTGTTATATAGTGACAGTTTTGTCCACCACAGCACAAGACCAGGAATATGAAATGTCTGTGTCAGCACCAGTTTATATGGTTAACTCTGGGGAGGATTATTATGCGGTTTGTCAGTTAGCAGGGTTTGATACGCTCTACATTGTGTCCGAACTAAGAGTCAAGTGGTTCCACAACACAAAACAAGCGACAACCTTATGCCTACTGGAAGATATCCTTTCATACAAGTATGAATGCAGTGTGGATGCCTCTCAAAATAAAAACTTCAGCTTTATACTCACTGTAACGGGTAAGCTTAATCTATGTTTGAAATATCCTTATATATGTCAAATAATTTGCATTTGTGGGTTCAATACTTTTTTTCGTTTTGAAGTTTTCTCAGTTTTACTAACTTAGAGTGGTACTAAATTCTTTTTTTAAACATGAAAACTGTGAACAATATGCTACGATTTGGATTGATAAAAAATCTAGTTTCCAAAATAGAAGAAAACTCTGACTTAAAAAAATTATGTCAAACACTTGAATTCTCCATTGTGCAATACCAATTTTTTTAGCTTCTCAGGAGAAGTATCATTATTAACTGTGTTTATATATATATATATATATATATATATATATATATATATATATATATATATATATATATATATATAAATTAAAGAAGGCATTGCGATTTTCCCTACATTAATGAAATTTATTGTCCAGTGTATCTGTGTTTGTCTTTCAGAATAACTATAAAAGTACTTACATGTATGCGCGATTGCATACAAAACATTTCATATAACTGATCAATCATACTTAAGGCTCACTGCGGGTGAACAGGTCGACAGGGAATCCTTATTCCTTCACGGCACCTGATCCCGCCTCTGGAATTTCTGAGAGACCGCATCCGCGTTTTATACCCTGGTTACAGATTTGTATTTTTGTAGATTTTTTAGATCAATCACCTCGTTATAACTGCCTTTTTCATATTAAAATCTCATGAACACAATAAATAATGGTCAAGAAAAATTACTAGGAATACTACGGTCTGCTTTATTAAACATATTCTTAAGAAATTCACCAAATACTTTTAATCAAATATGCAAAAAAAAAAAAAAAAAAAAAAAAAAAAAAAAAGAGATACCATGTTTTTTTTTCTTTAATGGACAGGTGAACATTGCATACACGTTCCACTGAGAAATATTTGTTCAATAGATATTAAACATTTTTGTGTATTTATAGTGCTTAATGTTGAGTTCGAAGAGAATTAAATGCTATCAACACTATAAATACAAACACGATCATCATCCTTGTATAAAATTCAAAGAATATTGATTTATTAACGATTTAAAAAAACCCAGAAATAATTAGACTTTGTTTCAGATGATATCGCATTGTTTTCTTAATTTCAGATGTTGAAAAGTCGGATGAAGGAAACTTAACTTGTGAGTTGTCAAAACAAATAAAAGTGAATGGGACACGGGTGAGGGATGAGATAATGGACGTCAAATCTGTTTCCTTTAAAGTGAGAGGTATCGATCTCCATTGAACTGTTCCCATGTTGTAAATTATTAACAACTTCAAGTAAAAAAAGTTTGATGCCTGATCTATAAGGTGTTCATATTTTGATTGCTATCGTGAGGAAAAGACTATCCTTTCTTTATTCAGTATCATCGGATACTCTGGAGTAAATCCTGTAATGAAACATGCTTATTTAAACGGTTTATCGTATTTTAGCATGTTACCTCATGTCCGCTAAATTAAATATACATTTGTACAAGTATATGTTTACATCAATTACATAAAGAAGCCTGGGTCTTAAATGTGCATATTCATGATGACGGTTATCAGTTGATTAAGGAATACTGTGCTAAATTCTAAGTGTGCTAAGTTTTTGCACGTTAACGTTTTTAATCCAAATATTAGGGGTGAAGTAATTGAGTACACTGTGTGTATTATCCGATCCAAGACGCATCAAACGTTGATACAAAAAGCCTACTGGAGCCGTTGACATCATTCAGATTCATTATATAGATAATCATTGCATGTTATTAGTTAAAAAATATATACAGAGACGTAATTCCTGATTATATCTATTTTGATTAAAATAAATGTAATGCATTTATTTTTTTTTTCGTTTAATTTATTTAACAGATTTCATCAAAGATATGATTTTCAAGTTTGACCAAAACAAGCAAGAGAATTTAACACTTTCTAGTAGTTCAGCCCCAAGACTCATTGTGGTTAATCCGGGAAATTATACACCATCCTGCAAAGTGATAGGAAGTACACCCGTGGCGGAAGTGAAGATCATTATGGGAGATACTCAGTTACAAGGGTCTCTTTTATATATGGAAAATGAACAGGGGATAGAGTTTGTTGCAAATGAAATCGAGTTTGAAGGTTCCATATTTAATTCTACAGACAAAGTACTATATATATATATATATATATATAGAGAGAGAGAGAGAGAGAGAGAGAGAGAGAGAGTGGTCGTTACCGATACATTTTGAATTCTTCATCTGAAAGTCCTGTGACTTTCACTTCTAGTGTCTATCTATTAGCAAAGGGATATTCACTACCTATGTTAATTTAGGTTTGACGCGGCCCCGGGAAAGGGAATCGATCCCGAAACATCCCGATCATGAAGCGAACGCCCTACCACTAAGCTTTAGCCAATGGTACAATAAATTATATGATATATGAAATTGCTGTCCTAAAGAATATAATTGCACGTGCGTAATTTACTTGATTAATGCATGACAAATTTCGAAACTATTATAATCGAAATTCAATTCACTGCAAATGTCAGTTGCATGTAAGACTGGTGCGCAATTTTTTTGAAGCACATTTTAATTTACGTAATGTTTTATGATCCTCTGTTCTATATTTTATCCTCCCCCCCCCCCCCCCACCAAAAATAAATACATACATAAATAAATAAATAAATAAAAAATAAAAAGATAATAAAAAAAATAAAAATTTCAAACATTGATTTTCGTCAACAACAAATTAATAGGATTAGATTAAAAGGGAATGAAGTTTGAACCTTGAAGCGAGGCTTACTTTTTCAAAAATTACTCTTATGTCTAACCATATAATATGAAGAAAATTTGACTCAGTGAATATGAAGAACAATAATTTATTATCAAAACATAAAAATAAAAATATGAGGTATATATATATATATATATAAAAATAATATTTAGTGTCACACATAATAAATTCCTATCAAAAACATAATACAACCATCCTTTTTAAGTGAGAATATCAAATTATTAAAAGTTGGGTCCATAAGTAACAGTTATCATTCTTAATTTTTTTTTTCGTATTTAAAAAATAAACGATAATCATAAAAATGCTACTATTGATTTATGGTAAATTATGCAAGTTATAAAATTTCATATGAAACGATACATATAAAAGTATTTAATTTTGACAGATTAAATAACTGTATGCAAATGGTTAAGGTCATTTAGTATAAATATTTACATTTATAACTGTTTTCTCTGTGATAATTCTTGGAAATTTGATTTCTCGATATTAACAATCGAATGTAAATTTCGCCTAATAAAAGGTCGATTGTCAATCTCTCAAGAGTGTCTGTGTCTGACGTCAGTGGGCGTGGACTGTGTAAATTAACATGGAATGTTCATATATTTTAAATCTATTAGATAGCATCTTTTATTTATATTCACACTTTTTTCACATATAAATTCATATATAAGGAATCACTGTCTAGTTTGTTGGGTATATGCTAGTGTCATCAACGATAGTTGGAAACATGGGATAATTTATGCATAACGGGCTTCGTCCGTTATGCAGATTATTTCCACGTTTCTGAAATATATATTGGAAGTTATCTGTCTGACCAGTGGATCAATAGGCCTTAAAGAGAATATAAAAAACATAATTTTTTGCTAAAATGTTTTTGGACTTAGAGAAAATTATTCTGTTCATAAAGATGTGTAAGTTGAATTTGTCTAGTTCATTTACGATATAGTGTACAAGACATGCCTCTTTTGTGGTTGGATATGATTTTTTTTATCCACCCACAAGTCATGAGAGATCTTTTATGTGTTCTAGTATAGGAGTTTTAGCCAAACCCTGTGTATTTCTATTCCGTTCCTTGAGCTCAGAGATATAAAATACAGAATTCGTTTGAAAAAAAATTAAATCCTACCATACCACAAGCAATGTGAGACCCTATATTTATGTATGGGACATGATCATTATTCAATCTCATGTTGATTTTGACAGCAGGCACCGATACCACACTGGCTTGCAGCTCAATAGTTCCTGGTCTTCCAAAATCAGAACGAGAGAGAACATTTAATGTTCTTGTAGTCGAAAAATGTGAGTATTATTTTATTTCATGTCTGTTTACATGAATATAAGAATCAACAAGGATTATCACTACTCAGGTTAATAGGAAAGAAATATATATGTACAGACAAAGGCGTATAAAATTGATAAAACTACGAGCATACAGTATTCTAAAAATGTAAGTATATGTAAAGAATAATGAACCAAGGTTCATTTTATGTATAAAATGACCTAGTCCTCATACAAATTAATAGGAAATAATACAACCTATAAATACCCTATGATCTATATCAAACATCAATATAAAGTCCTCCTAAAGACGTTCTAAAGACTTGTTAAAAGACTTTCATTTCCAGTCCTTTGACAAAGTTTCCTTTGAGAGTTCAGGTATTGGGAAACAAGCTTTGTGAAATTGCAATGTACTTGAATTTTGCAGAAAACAGGTGTATGAGTACGTTCGGCGAGGAATTAATTAAGAGCACACGCCTCGATCCCAAAAAATGAAACCTATCATATAATCTTTAGAAACAGTTCTATCATCATATAATAGCATATTTTGGATCAGAGGTTGTGCTCTATATGAAATATTAAAAAATATTTTACAGGTTTGGCCATTTTGTAAGATTTTTTTCAGGATATGGGAATAATGTCGCATTTTATGACGCCAAAATGAATTAACTAGCGCGGAAATAACGTCAATTTAAATAGATATGCAGTCGCCAAGGTCCCATGTGTTATATTATAGTGAATGTCAACTAAACAGTGATCAGTTTCAATTTTTCGGAAATACAGAGGGCCAAAAAAAAAAAAGTCTTAAAGGGACTTTGCCAGAATTATTAAATAGTAATTAGTATCGTCTGTTAGGGAACACCGATTTCATTTTAAGGCCACCTGAGTCACTCAGGTGACTTATTGCTATCTGTTTTCGTCTGTCGAGGTGAGTCGTCCGTCCATCGTCGTGCGTTAACATTGGAACATTTTCAGCATCTTCTTTGTAACCGATGAACCAAATTCAACAAATTTTAGCATAGAACATCTATGAGTAAGGGAAAACAAAAATTGTAAATTTAATGGTCCCTGATCCCCAGGGGTCCTAGGGGCGGGACTAAAACCATTACAATTAGTGCTATATTTGAAAATATTCTTCTTTACTCCTGGACATCAAGAAGTCATAATGTTGGTAGATCTATTATTGTAATAAGATTTGAGCCCTCTATTAAAATTTAGAAATTCATGGCTCCAGGGTCAGGAATTCTGGAGTTAGGATGGGTCTTCTATGATCATATGGTGAAAATGCAAAAAAAAAAATCTTTAAAATCTTCTTTTCTCCCCCTGTATATAAAGCATATAAATGGTTATGATGATAAAGGGTGCCTCTTCCAAAACTGTGAAAATTGTGGCTCCAGGGTCAGGGGTTCTGTGGGAGGGGGGAGGGGCTCTATTGATTATAAAGTAAAAGTGATTATTTCTTTAAAAATCTTCTTCTCTGCTCCTTAGAATTAAGAAAACAAACAAAGTATGTAGTTATGATGAGCAAGGGTGCATCTTCCAAAATTGTGAATTTCATGGCCCCTGGGTCAGAGGTACTGGTGTTAAGACAGGGCTCTATTGATTATACAGTGCAAATGCATTAATTCTTTAAAAATCTTTTTCTCTCCCCCTGTATATAGAGCGATAAACAGGCGCATAGTGATGACGATCAAGATAGCCTCTTCCAAAATCGTGAAATTTGTGGCCCTAGGGTCAGGGGTTATGAAGGTGAAATGTACATGTGTACAGTTAAATTTCATGTTTTTGAAAGTCTTCTTCTCTGCCCTTTATATATTTAGAGAAACTAATTGGATGATTATGATGAGCAGGGATGCCTTTTCAAAACGTTCGAAATTCATAACCCCCTGAATCAGGGGCTTTGTGTGAGGATGGGGCCCTTTTGAATATATATATGTTCTGCCTGTAGTGGGACCATGATTGGCAAATAAATGATGGGTTTACAAATAGTGTTTAATAGCCCGCATGGGGATTGTGAGTAATGGGGGCAAGTAAAGACAAGAAAAACAGATCAACTTTAAAATTTGTTACTGACCATTAAATTAATCAATTTGCTGATCCCTGATCGTGCTATTTCTCTTGCTTTTTGGCATAATAGCTTCATTTATCAGCTTATTTCATTTTATACCCAATTTATGGATCCTTTATAGCGTTACATTATATTCAGGTGACCGTTAAGGCCCTTGTTTGTTGTAACTTAATCCTAAAAATTTTCTCAATGCATAATTGCGTGTTGCTTATATCACCATGTTAATAAGTGATGTAAAACCATTGTCATTGTACCACATGGTACATAATTGATCAGTAATATTAAGTACGACATGGTATTTACATACCCGGTAATTATATACAATAAAAAAAAGTACAAGAAAAATCTAATTCGTTATGCTTGATATAACAACACTTCCATTGATTAAGCAATGTCTAATGCCATGTACATACTAGCAAATGTGTAAATTGGGAACAAAAAACAAGGAGCAAATAATAATACAATGTAAAAATGTTTAATTCGTAAAAAGTGTTTATAAACTTTACGTGCCTTTTCTACTCACTGTATCATAATTTTATGTTGTAGTGGATCCGAAATTCATATGCACAAATGAATCAGCAGTTTTGAAGAACAAAAGACATAAAGTCACGTGTAAAGTTTATAACGTAAAGAGAATTACGTGTACAAAGATAGCATGGCAGAGAGGATATGATGGAGAAAGTCGTGGATCAGGAAACTATGAGGATATTAATATAGAATGCAAGGTTAGGGATTATAATACGTCTCCAAGAAAAAATTACCCATACGAATACTATTCACTTCGAATTCCTCAAAAATTACCTATTTTATAAGATGAGAAAATCAATTTGATAACTTTGATACAATTAAAGGGTGCATCAATGTGTTAAGTTTAATTAAAAAGGAAACCAACTCAAACTTTTTCCATTGCTAGCAATAGCTTATTGCATTTTCAACAGTGAAATACTGTGAATACTGTTATTAAATAAATTGGTATCCTGTCACAGTGTGAAAGGATACCGAAGTGATAATCTGTCACAGTGTGAAAGGATATCAAAACAAGTTAAACATCATTTCTGGCCTGTCATAAGATAGAGATTGTAACTGAACGAGTTTAGAAAAGACAGAGGAAAAGGGAAATCAAAGAAAACGTAATAAACAGAAAATTCAATGTTAGGTAGCTATTGATATGGAATTTATTTCACTCGTGAGGCAGGTTTTTTATATATATATATATTTTCACTCGTGCTTCGCACTCGTAAAAATATAAAAAAATCCTGTCCAACTCGTAACATAAATTCCATACCAGACTGATCCGAAAGGTGTAATCTATTCAATGCCTTAAGTTTCATGTATAATATATTACAAAATAAACAAGGTTATTTGGTGAACATGGGGTTATGAATTGTAGTAATTGCTCTCCTACTATTACGATTCATAACGCTTTGTTCGCTGGATAGGGTTTTAAATACAGTGTTGAAAACTTCGCTTCCTTTTTATTCTCATTATTCTCATAAAGGCTCATTATTTGAATTGTATTTTAGAGAAACTAGGATTTAATTCTACAGGTGGAAATCCAACTTACACCCATAAGTGGTCCATTTCTAAGGAGGAAATTCTTCGAAATCATATGTCCGTTTTAGATATTTTTAATATTCCCAACAATCAAAATGAACTTGAATTACCATACCTTTACTGGATTTATAAACTTCATAAAGAAAAAACTTACGATCAAAGATACACAGCGGGTTCAGTGAATGTTCTACCAGTCTCTTTCTTTTCTCCTCACTAATGAAGGATAAACTTCACGAGTACTGTACAGCAGTATATTCGAGTAGTGGTGTAAATCAGATGTGGATACTACACCAAAGGTCTTTTGGAAAATTTGAAATCACAAATTTTACTAAAATCAATACCATCAAAACGTTCGATTTTTTCAACACTTTATTATACAACCATTCCCCATGATAAACTGAAGTCCAGACTTTTTGACATAATAGACAGCTGCTTTTTCAATAAAATTGGAACTCGTAAATATACATACCTTGCCATCGGTCATTTACCAAATTATTTTGTTAAAAAGCTCTCTGATTGTACACACAAGTACTCTGAAGTTGATATTAAAAAGATTCCTGAGTTTCAGATTGACAATATCTATGGAGTTCTTGGAGATCAGGTCTTCCGATAATCTGTTGGAATTCTCATGGGTACCAATTGCGCCCCCTTATTAGTAGACCTATTTTTGTATTCATATGAAGCAGAATTTTTTTTAAAAAACTTCTACAGAAGAAAAAAAAAACACTTGCTGTGGCCTTCAACTCGACATTTCGATATATCGACGACGTATTATCAAATAACAATAGTTACTTTCATTCATATGTCGACTTGATATTTCCCAGTGAGCTTGAAATAAAAGATACTATAGATTCTGACACATCTGTTTCATATTTAGATATTTTTCTAGAAAAAGACGTTAATGGTAACGTAACAAAAAAGCTTCATGATAAACGTGATGGCTTCAACTTTTCAATCGCCAACATACCTTTCTTATATAGCAATATACCCTTACATGTATCACCTGCATATGGGGTTTATGTCTCTCAGTTGATTCGATACTAAAGAGCATGCTCTACGTATGTACAATTCTTAAAACGAGGCAGGGTATTGACAAACAAGTTGATGAACAAGGATATCAACAGTCTCGTTTCAGTCATGTTTTCGCAAGTTTTATGGTCGATACAATGACATTGTCAGCAAATACAACCTATCACTGAGTCAAATGCTGACTGACGTTTTTCATACTAACTGTTAGGCCATTATTTGACACTGAACTGTCTACGGATTTTTCGTTTTTTTCGATCATGACAAGGAGCACAAGGCGGGTGTGATCGGTCGGCAGGGGATGCTCACTCCTCCATGGCACCTGATCCCACCTCTAAATTTTGAGATCCGTGTTTGCTCTGCTCCAAATTTGTATCGTTTCATTGGACTTTGGAGATTGAATACTGTTCCTTACCTTCATATTTCATCTCATCCACTTTTTTTAAGGATTATGAAGAATATTGAGATCGTTGCTTGGGAAGAAGTAAGTAAGTAGTAAGTCGTAAGTAAAATATTAAGTTCCATCTGCTATGAATGCGTTCGTGAAAAGCACTTAAGAATTTTCGTAAGAGATTCAAAAACTTGTGAAAAAACTTGCGTTGATATTATAAAAACCTGTTAATTTTCAAGCACATGATTGTGTTATATAAAACTCAAGATATTAAAAATCAAAGTTTTGACTTAATTCTGCTCCCGGTTTATCTTTCTGAGGCCTGAATGTGATTTTTTTGCTGCTTGTCATAATTAAAAAAAAGTGATAAAATAATTCTGACTACCTGATCAATACAATTTTTATTCCATAAATAAAAAAATAGACAATATTCTCGTTAGTTCTAACACCCATTTTGGGCTATCTATTTACATCCTTTATTACAGTCTTTAACAACTTCTTGTTTCATTTTCCGCTCATCATATTTCATATGTATGACGTTATCATTCGAAGTATTTTACCCTCTGTGACAGAGAAAAGACTTTTATGTTTTATGTTACTTTCTAATTGATTTTCGTTTCATTTTATGGAGTAAAAAAAATTTGCAATACAAAATTTTCAAGAATTTTCAAGAAAAGAATGTAAAATATCACAAACCGTGACGTCATTTTGGCTAAGTCAGAACTTAATGTACCTTCTTGAGGAGTAAGCTTTCCTTTAATGTGAAAAATAAATCATTTAAATTATTAATTTAGGCACAGATTTTTATTTTGAGAATTTTTTATTCTACAATTTTGAACGTTGCTAACAATTAATTTTAAGAAGATTGAAAATAATGTTAAGGTTTTGTCAAAGGTCATCATGTCCAAAAATTTATTTTTAGCTCCAAAACTATGTGGTTTATAAAGTTAAAACTTTTACAGTTCATAAATATATCATTGATTAACAGATAGAAAGTATCACTTGATAACAAATACTTAAAACAAATATTTGTCGAGAAAATTCTTTTTAAAAAATGCATATATTTTTTAAAAATGCATCTTCTTAATTCTGTACTTTTAGTGAAAACGATCACTGCAGAAATATTATATGTTTGTCAATGAAGGGCAAGTTGGACTTCGATGGCCTCTGGAAAGTTGTTTTCCCTGTTTATTTTGTCCAAATGTTAAGATTTGTCTTTATATTTGTCATGCTTTCAATAACAGCCTTTCAAAGACCATTCACGTCCAACTTGCACTTCATTGATAAACATATATTATTTCTGCAATGACGGTTTTCACTAAAAGTAAAGAATTAAGCAGGTGCATTTTTTTTAAATATGCAAATTTTTTGCATTTTTTTTTCTCAAAAAATATTTTTTAAATATTTGGTTTTAAGTGATACTTTCTATCTGTTAATCAATGATATATCAATAAACTGTAAAAGTTTTAACTTTATACCTCACATAGTTTTGGAGCTATTGTAAAAATTTTTGGACATCTTGACCTTTGACAAAACCTTAAGCAAAATGTTGTACATGTGTATTTAATGTTTTTTGGAGATTTTTTTATCATGAACTAAAATTTATTATTTTTAACTATGTTTCCTACATATATTACTGAACAGAATATCTTTTACAATTTATATGTAGCCATAGCAAAGAACAAGGTACGGTTTCAATACAAATCTTGCCCTGTGTTTTTCTTAAGAATAAAAGTGATGTAAAAAATTAAAACTCATGCTTTTTGAATTAATTAAATTCCATGCAGAAAGATCATACAAATCTTTTTTCTCACATGACCTTCCAAATGCTAATTGTGACGTCATAAACTTGTGCATTTTCCCGTATTTTCTTAAAAAGTTGCAGAAGACATCAATTTTCAATGGAATTTTCTTTCAGATAATATTTTCCACAGGCATCGCCCACAAAGATTTTGAGATATGTGATTTTTGAAAGAATTTTACGCAACATATCTAAAAATTAACGTGGGCGACGGCTGTGGACACTATTTTCTTAAGGAAAATAACCCTTGAAATGGGTCATTTTGAGGCTTTTTCTGATTAAAAATAGAGAAATACATCAAATTAATGACGTCATATATCCAGAATGGTACTCAATCATGCTATATTCCTTCCTGATTTATTACAGTCGTATACTCAACTAATATTTAAGCCAGTTTCAAAACTTTTTGAAAACATTAAATTTTTAGGGCACAATAAAGCTAAAACCATACCTTCTTCTTTCTTCAAGCGAGATTGTATATTGTTTTCCGTCCCTTTCGAGAATGTTTCACTCATAAAGAGACGTCACCATATACCGGTGAGGGCTTCAAATTTTGACTTTGAATCAGCACTAAGGGCCATTGAGCACTGAGGCTTCCCTATCATGTCAACGCCTACCGTGACACGGGGTCTCGGTTTTTAAGGTCACATTCGAAGGACCCGCAACTTTCACTTCAAAGTGCCGAGCGCCTGGCGAAGGAACAGTTGCTACCTATTTTTTTTTTATCGACTTAGGCCAGTCGCAGCCGTGATTTGATCACGGAGCGAGCGCTCTATCGACTGAGCTACCGTGACGGCAATTTGTAAAAAAGAAAAACATTTCAGACATATTTTATCAGCATAATATTAGTGTCATAATCCTTATTTTATTTGATCTTTTAATAGAAGATTAATAACTCTATGATTGAGACAACCATGGAGATTCTGAAAGTGACCTCTGACGACTTTAGGATTCCTTATTACGTAGTATACAGTTATGCGAAGAGGTTCCAAATCACTATTCCGCAGGGTGAGTCCTTAATGGTGATCAAAAATATTTTTAAAACTTTTTTGTGTGTCCTCACAATGTCTTTTAAATATCATCATTTGTTTATGATTTTTTTTTTGCTTTCATTTCATATGATATCTTATCACTAAGTAAACAAGTACTCTCCGAAACATAAATTTCGACTGAAGCTAAACTTCATAAAACCATCAATTTATTTGTAGAAAAATGTCCTTTATTTAGTTTGTCTTGAATATCAAGTAGACATTCATGATAATTGACGTTTTCAAACAGGTTGTAATTGACCACGTTGCGCGAGTAACACCGATTAATTCGCCAACAAAAAATATTTGTAAGCTTAGCGATCTTTTTTTTTTTTTTTTACTTGTGAACAATTCTTCATTCATTTAATGGTTAATTTTTCCTCGGTCCTGAAAATGAGATGGTGTTAAAATGACGAATGTTATACATATATTATCTGTTTTATTTAAACATATATATATATATATATATATATATATATATATATATATATATATATATATATATATATATATATATATATATATATATATATATATATATATATATTATGTTTTCTTTTTTTCCTTTATTTTAGAACACGTCAACGCTGCAGTAAATATTTGGGATTCTTCGATGTTCTTCATTGCATTATTACATACAACCCTCTCTATAATTTTGCTTTAAATGTACGTTTATCAATATAGGAACTCAAATATTACTTTGATAGACTTTCAACTATCAACGCACGATATAATCTACTTACTTGACGAGAAAGAAGGAAAAAAGATATCTTGCTATTTTTCTCTTTGTACATACTCGTACTTCCTTCTCAAAAGAGATCATTATATATTGATCTTGCATATTATATTTGTTTTGTTGTTTTTTTTATGTACCGCTATCTACATTTAAAAAGATTTTAACTTTGTTTTCTCTTGCAATGTTTTGTATTTATATTTTAACCCAAAGCAACAAATAAAATACCTTTTTTGTCGAATTGTTTTAACAATAATGAGTATAGTGTATGGGAATGAAATGGAGACGTTAGACTTTGTGGGTCAACAATTCAAAATACTTGATAAGTTGATCTCTCTATTACGATCAAAGCCAAATATACATGTATTTAATCATGTATGTTTTAAGTTCACTTTGACATTTACTTTGAAGGTTGCCGGAGATTTCATCTATTTACCGTCAGATATTAAAATTGATATCAAATCCTACTTGTTCTACACAGAAGCCTTATGAGGCCAGCTAAAATTGACAAAAAAATACTGTTTTCAAACAAAAGACACAGTATTTTTCCCCATATGAATCGGCCTTTACGAGCTTCTATATACAGTGAAACATGTCTAATCCGGATGTTGTAAAATCCGAAATCTTGTCTAATATGGTAAAAAATTTCAGTCTGTTGCAGTAAATTTCATTACTTTAAATATTGTCTAATCCGGAATGTTGTCTAATCCTACCAAATTCTTTGGAACCAGTGGTATCCGGATAAGACAAGTTTTTTCTGTATCTTTTTTGTCTTTTGCATCTAAAAATATAAACTTGACCTGATAAGGTTTTATCAAAGAAATTCACTTTTCTATTATTTGAAACTGTTACAATAAACATTCCGGTTCAAAAACTTGCTTTCATAATAAAATACCATTGGCACGTTTAATTTTTTAAAATAAAAAATTAAAGCAATTTTTTAGCTAGAATAAACGTTGTTCATTCATATTTCGAGCATAGTAATCTGATATTAGTTCCATTATTGTCTGGTAATAGCTCTCCTGAGCCAAAGATTCAAGGAAGCTTCTCTGATCGAAGTTTGTCAGTGGCCGTCTATCTGTCTTTCTTTAACTTTCTGACATTCTCAACTTTTTCACCTTAACCACTCTATCATTTTAGCCACATGTATTCCAGAGCCTCTTTAAAAAAAAAAAGAATACAAATTTGTCCAAAGGAAGGGCACTCCTTCTTAAAAGAGAGGATAATCAAGAAAAGGTCATCTTTAAAAAAAAAAAACTCCGTACAACAAAGAACAGATCAAACTTAGGTGAAAGGTTCAAGACAGTGTTGATTCAATTTGTTAGAATTATAGATGTCGCCGGGGATGGGTATCACAGTAATGGATCAAATTTTCCGTTTGAATATCTAGATAAAAGCCTTTGAAAGTCTTCTAAAAAAGAGCAGTAAAAGAAACTTCAATATTGCATTTTTTTAAAATAAATTGACCAGTGACAAACTGCAACCAAACAAGGTACAACAGTATTTAGCCCTCATTATGAAATGTTTGGTTGGCATCTTATTGATGCCTTTTTAAATTTGGATGACTCAGAGTCTTCAGTAAAGCCTACAAGTCATTATGCTGAAATGTTAAAGAAAAGATTACAATTTGCCTACAAAATTGCAAGATGAAACATTGATAAAAATAGTTCTCGACACAAAGAAAAACTATGACAATAAAGTTCATTCCTCGATAGGATAGGATGTAGGACACCGCCAATCATCTTGCTAAAAACGGCACGACTGTGCAAAATGTATCAGGTGTTCTTTGAACCAGGTTTATGTAAAATAAAATGTCGTTTGTCGACCCCCTTTTGACCTCATCGGTGAAAAAGAAAATTCAAAGTCCTATTGCACATCTACAGGTCACCAGCAATTATCTTTCAAAAGAAGCTTAAAACATGCGAGTTCTACAGCAATTTTAATCCAAAACACTTATACGTACATGTAAGTACATTTTATAGTTGACTTTAATATTGTATTGACAACTGGTAACTTTTTATTTTGATTAAATTGTTATGAAAGTAGGTGCAAACGTCTTGCAAATATAGAATTTATTTTCTTGCTATATTTTTTTTCAAATATCAAATACTATTAAACAGGAGACATGAGGAGGAAACTTTAAATAATTCAAGTCACAGCTGCTCAGTTTTTCGGTACAATCTCTTTTGATTTTATTGTTGACTGCAGGATATCCTTGATAATACACAATACTTATCAGAGCTGGACTTTCATATTTCATCACTATTTTTGGAAATTCAGAAAAAAAATAGGGAAGTTGAAGTTAGTAATGTAATTTTAATTCAATATGTAATATTTGTTACCAGTTTCAACTTCTTTGCGCAACTGTTTATGAGGGTAAATTATTTCAAATGTCAAATAAAACAGATTGTTTATCATGTAAATAGGCAAGAGATTGGTTTGGTACCTCAATATTGTAGACATAGCCACTCAGGTTTCATCACAGTCATGCTTGCTTCTATGTAAAGAGTAATGAAGGAAGCAAACAGTAGTTATCATTTTCTATTAAATTTTCTTATGTGAATTTTACTGCAGTTTATTTCAGGGTTATACATCATTTGATTCTGAGTAACTTTGCAGAAATTTAAACAAACTACGATATTGATCCGAATTACATTTCAAACACTTTTGCTATATCTGAATTTTTCGAGTTAAATTTACCTTCTCTGGACCCAGTTTGGTCAAGATTATTTAATTTCTGAACAAAATTTTCATTGATAAGTGTTTTGACCACATTGTATATTTTTACTATCGTATTCAATCAGGGATGGGCACGATTACTGAAAAATGTAATCGATTAATAATCGATTACTTAGAGGAATTTGTGTAATCGATTATTAATCGATTACACTCATTTTTGTCTGTAATCGATTGTAATCAATTACTTTGGAAGATGCAATTGATTGATAATCGATTACTTCCAAGTTTATCAAAGCAATATTTAAATGGTAAATGTTGATGTTATCCACTGAAAATTGAATGTGTTGCTGCAGTTTAAGTGCAGATTCTTTTAAGATTTTATTCTGGCTAACATTCTCATTAAATGCCCAAATGAGGGATTCGACATGATTCCTACAATGAAATATGCCAAGGAATTATTTATTCCTTTCAACCTTGGATCTAAACCTCCATATTTATTGACTTGTTGCAAAAATTATTTAATATTTTATTGTGAATTACTTCATTAGAAGTATTTGGGCTGCCCGTATGTTGACAGTACACATTAAACATTCCTGTACGTGTCTTTAAAAAAAAAAGTAAATTAGAACTCTTAGTAATAAACTCTTAGTAAAAAATTAAATGTGTCTTTAAGTAATTAAACTAATAGCACAATTTCATTCTGTATTGAAAAAGTGTTTTGAGAGCTATTAATTGTTTTAATAATGTTGTTTGTCTTCAATGAAATGAAAGTTAAACACTAGGTAGTTCACAGTTTACACCTCATTATCTGCAAGTCAGGGATGTCTCAGTCAATTAATTAGCCAAATAAGATAAGCAAACACAGTGACACACTCCCTCTCTTACAGACACTTATAACCTCTCACTGATATAAAAGTAATCTTACAAATTTGAATGGAAACATGAGAATCAGATTTTGCAAATTTTAAAGTTACTATTTAAAACACAAGTTTGAAGTTGTTTGAACATTTTCAGATATGAATAAGTATTTCCGCCTTCTTTTTTTCGAGTACAATGTAGTTTATTTACCAAATTATTTATATTAAATACAGCACTTAAGGAGGTTGGATCCTGTCATCAAAAGTAATGAGAATTTTTTATCAAGTATATTTTAAGAATCTACACACATAGCTTAATTAAAAATCAAAACAAAAAATGGGGGTCAATGCGCTTCTTTTGATGCTACAGAGCAATTAGTTTGACCTTTTTGCACTGTAAATACTTTTTACACATCATCAATTTTTAAAGTTTTCCTCCAATAATATTTATTCAAATAAATTATGGGAACAAACACAGTCTTATTTCATCTTAAATAGACACATTGAAATTCGTCACAACAAAAAAAATTTCAAATTACTTCGCATGTTCAATTATTTGACCTTTTTGCACTCAAAAATATCATTTTTCTGACATTAAAATTTTTAACAAGCAATAAAATCATTTGAAAGTAATGACATTTTACTGAATTTAAGAAGAATGGTTAAAAGTATCTTATATATTCAGATAAGGAAATTAAAAGTGGGGGTCTGTGATGTTAATTTTTAGATATTACTAAAATAGTGCTAATTTTAAGCTTAAGTTAGGGCTATTTTTTTTCTGGATAAACAAAACAAAAACAAAAAAAAAAAAAAAAAAAAAAACAAACAAACAAACAAAGAAAAAAAAAAAACAAATAAACAAACAAAACAAAACAAAAACAAATTTTTACTTACTTAGGAAATGATCTTTAAGAAATATGCCAGGACTTGGGAAAGCTAAACAAACACATATTTGAGAAATCAAATGCATAAAAACTGACAACAGCTACAAACTAGTGCAGAGAGAGAGAGAGAGAGAGAGAGAGAGAGAGAGAGAGAGAGAGATATTATAGCTATAGCTTAGAAATGATAACACTTACAATGATAAGCTATGTAATTAAAGGTGAGGCATACATGTTCACATAGAACACGATTTTTTATGCTTAAAGTTTAATTTTAAAATATGACTGTCAAAATTATATTCTTTAGGCAAAATGAATAAAAGTCCAAAATAAAAACAAAATTTTTTTTCCGGAAAAAGTATTTATTCGAAATTAGAAAATGTACAAATGTATTTAATATCTGACTTCAGAATCCAAAGTAGAGAATATAAGATTGCGGAAAAAAACATGGTCGATGGAATTAAGATAATGAATTTGAAACGGAAGAATAAAATCATGATAGAAAAAAAAAATTAATACCCGACCTTCGTCCCTTCAAGGAAGAACATCCATTTTAAAACTGTGTGCTGCATGAAATGTGTACTGCAGCATAGGAAGCTAATAATAAATATAAGTTTAACGCCTTATAATCTTTTCTTTTAAAATATTTTTTTTTGGGGGGGGGGGGGTCTTCCTGTAGTTTTTTCTTTTGTTTGTTTTTTCATGCTAGTAGAGATTGAAGAGATATCCGTACATGAAGTTTTTTTTTTTAAATTGGTATCTAAACATAAACATATTTTTAGAAGGTGTTTTAATTTTGATGATCTGCTTCTGTGACCCACGATCAAAATCAAATATTTGTATATAACTTAATCATACCTTATGGGGCAAAATTAGAGAAAAATAGCTATTAAATTTGACGATCCTTTTGACGATTAATTGTCACCTTTCCAAGAAAAAATCGCTTTCATCAAATAGCCAATAACCATTATTATCAAATTTTGCACACATATATTCACATATTAGAACATATGAAGTGATAACAGAGCACAACTTGTAAATAATTTCTATGCTGTTCGTTGATAAATATATTCCATGATTTGTATATAATTAGCTGCAAATATGAACAGATACAATACATATTATCTTTCTCTAATTGAACTGGTACAGTCAAGTACTCATGATCACTTTCTGTGTCTAGTTCAAAATGATAATGAGGAGTGGACTGGTTTTACATGTACTTAAATGAAGCAATATTGTCTATTATTTTTTTCATTCCTCAACTTCCCTTGCTTATGTAGCAATATATCCTTATCACCTGCATATGGGGTTTATGTCTCTCAGTTGATTCGATTTGCAAGAGTATGCTCTACGTATGAAAAAAATTCTGAAGTTCGAAACCCACTGCGGGACGTGGAGACCCGTCCTTCAGATGAGACCGTGTGTCGCTTTAGGTGCTGGCACGAAAAAGATCCCTCACTGCTCAATGGCCCTAAGTGCCGAGTATAGGTCAAAATTTGTAGCCCTCCACCGTTTCCATATGAGTGAAAAATTCTCGAGAGGGACGTTAAACAACAAACAAACAGAGACGTCACCATGGGCTTCAAATAGTCTTCAAATATTGACATATACTCTGCACTTAGGGCCATTGAGCAGTGAGGGTTCTTTATTGTGCCATCGCCTACTGTCACACGGGGCCTCGGTTTTAAGGTCTCGTCCGAATAACCCGCAACTTTCACTTCAAAGTGCCGAACGCTTGGCGAAGGAACGGTGACTATCTTATTTACCGACCAAGGTCAGTTGCGACCTTGTTTCGACCTTCTGACAACCTGTTGATGTGCTGTATACAAACTACATGATTACTGTGTTCAACAGAAGACACTTCTTAATCTACAGCTCACTAAACAGAAATTAAAATAGTTTTAATTTCTTCCCCATTATGAGACTGTAATAATTTTAGTAGATTAAACGGAAGGAAGTTTTATTGACATAAAATTTAGGAATATTGATACCCATCTCACACAGTCGTTAAAATTTGGTTCTTGCCAAGACCTTGTTCTGTGGAATTTAAAATTGAAAAGAAAAATAATTTAACTGTTTATTTTGATAATTTACGTTTGCATACATGCCTGTTTTCATGCCTCTATACCTGGTTTTAGCCGCAATGTTATGCATTGTTCAAGGTAAGATTCATTTCTTTTTTTTATCAAATACCATTGAATTCTTCATCATTGCATAATGTTCAGTAGGGCTGATAAAAAAGTAGATTATCTTCATGAATGTTTTATAATTTTTTATGAACTAGTAGAATATTTATTGCAGACACTTCAAGAATGAAAAACATATTTATAAAAATACATTAACATAACATTAGATAAGAGAAACTGGGCTGCTACCTGATCATGTCTTTCACTTTATATGAATTTATTAATTACATGTATATCAAAAAAATAATATACGTAGATCATCTTGTGCTTCCATAACTTTGGCAAGGGGGGGGGGCAGGTTTATGTTTATTTTTCAACCATTTAATTTTATTTACATGTATATCAGCTTAACTAGGGAAGAAAAGAATCTAAATAAATCGAAGAACCTCAGCAATCGTGAAGATTTAACTTGATCAATCAATCAATTAGCTGCATATCTGTAGCTCGCTGGTCTGAAAAAAAAAAATAGAATAGATAATCAGAAAATGCAGTGCCATCAATAGAAAAAAAGGATATAGTACGCATTTCAGTAATCTGATTCTTTTCGCTCTTCATTCCAGTCTCTACATTTGCAGTCCCTGTCGTTAAGGGTCTGAATACGAGGGTAGTCCATTAGGTTCGTGGACAATGTCGTTTTTGTCAAAATGAATGATTTTTTGTATTCTTATTGTAAATCAAATTATTTCTTATAAAAATCCAAGTCAGAAGAGTTAAGATTTTATTGTTTTAACTTAATATTTTTGTTTTAAAAAATGGGGTCTTTCAAGGTTGCAGATAGTGCGCACGGCCCAGCAATAAAATACCATAAACCTTGAAATAAAGTGTTATGATTAAAATGATTATTTTCTTAATAAAACGAGCCATTGCTTAATAAAAATTGCATGTGTCACAAATAAAGCAACTATGGTCATTTTCTGATATCTTTAGGATCGCTTACTATACAGACAGTGAAAATATATAATAAAAACCGCCAAGAAATATTTTCAAAATCTGACAGAAAAAGCGACTTCGGCTGTCCGAACGGAACGCCGTCCAATCATAAAATTATTTTATTTTTAAACGAAGTCAGATACAAAATATTTATTCAAACAAAGCGAAGTTTTTGGAATATATTTAGTTCATTAATTTGAGTTTGGTATACACGATTTTTAAACGATGTGTACAATGTTGGAGATATAACAAGAAGTGGAATACCATTGTCATTTTGATGAAATTATGATTTTTCTATTCATGACGTTGTTATAAATCTAGCGCTACATTGGACTGTGGTGTGTAGCTTGTGTATACGAACTGTTTAATGATGTTCGAAAACTATCGTGTATTGTTTTGAATTTTATAGGTTAAATCAATTATGGTCTTTACATAAATATTATTGCACACTCTTGTCAGTGTGGCATAAAAAAGAAAATGTAGCGCTTGTTCATGATCATGTAGAAAAAAATTCAAAATCCCTATTTTAAGACGTAATTATGAAATAAGCTTTACGTCAGACTTGACCGTACGGCTTGTATATAATTCATATATTATATTAACTAAATCTTGGTCTCTATTAGAATAGTACTATACACGTATGCCAGTGAGGACTTTATTCAGGAAATTATAGCGTTTGTTCCCGAACTTTATGGATAACCCTCGCACTGTTAGTATATAGCATGTTAATATCAACTTCTTTTAAGGTAGGCGCGTGTTTTGTCTCTATTTGGGGCTGCAGAGAGTGGAAAACCAATATTTAGCTTTCCTGGTAATGAGCTATAAACAAACGACAGGGAGAAGTGCAGTTATTGTTTTCGCTCCACCTACTGCAATTCGATTGAATCACGGTTTTTCAAATCGCCTGCGTAATACATAGTTACGCGTTGTCATGTACATATTAATTATTTTAAACTAATCAGCATCTAGGAAGACGGCCAATGAAAGAAAGTGATAGAAGAGAAAGCAGAATACATGTAGCTCAGAGAATTACGTAATGAAACACCTTAGAGAAATAAATACTGTATTGCACAGGGAGCTCAGGACTGTAAATACAGCTCTGAAGCTATTATCAACAAAATAAAAAGCATTGATTAAATTGACATGTTTTAGTAAATGGTTAAACTTAAATAAACAGATGTTTAACGGAGCGAAGTAAAACCTTCTCATATAGAAAGGATGACTGCACTTAACGCCTGTTTTTGGGTCCTTTTCGGTTGCTTCTGTTGCTTTTATATCTAAACCTTATCTCACTTTTGTATGTTTATGAAAGAATACTGTCAATTTGGAACCACATTTAAATCTTAAAATGATTTTAGACTGTGATACAATAAAATGATTCAATGTTTTTTGTCCTTACTGCTTTCCAAATATAGTGAATTTACACTTACCTGCCCTTGATTGAACATTAGATATGCATGAGAGGTGGAGCTAACATTGTAAGAATGGCTCTAAAATTAGACTACATGTACATAAATAACAATGACATGTTTTGAAAAGCGAACGTGATCACTCTTTCCAATCTCCCTCTCCATTCTGTATAGCACAAATACACTTCTGACAAAGGTTTCAAAACGAAATTAACAATATGAGCACATCAATGTAATTAAAGCAAATTTATATCAATGCCAGATGAATTAACGTGTTCGAACACAATGTCCTAGTTAGCACATCACATGCTTCCTTACAAGTCACGTGACGGAATTTAGTATTCACAAAGTTACCTGAGGTAAGAAATCACGTGGTGAATTATAATATTCAACATGTCACAATCCTTGGTTACAACACAGAGAGCGAATGTAAGAAGAAGCAGTTTTTTCTCTTTTTAACCATGAGCGCATGTTTGTCTATTAATCTCCTTTTGACACATTATTATTTATGCAAATATACAACTACTGTTAAACGTAGAAAAATAGACAAACATGCGCTGACTATGTATAAAGTCAGTAAATAAGTGGGCGTCCTCATTATCGAACGGAGATTCAAGAAATTGTGATGACCCCTGCCTTTGAAAACAACTTCGAACTTCGTAAATACACACTTTTATTAAACGTAATTACATAAAGTTGTAGATTGGATGTTGACCATTCTTGCAATGAAAAGAAAAATGCTTGTTTTGAAAGTTTATTTTGTCGCAAATTCCGCATTTCCTTAAGTGCAGTCATCCTTTGGTGTTGAAGTATGAAGACATGATCCTTTTTGTCCTTTTTAACGTGCGTGAGTTCTATTTCATAAAGGAATATTTTTAATTAAGTGAGTTTGTTGCAAATTTTGGAGATTTTACTTAGAACATTAATGAATTTTAACTGATATATCAAGAAAATATGTATAATCAAGATGATTTTTTTCTTCTGTGTTTTATTTGTTGAACCATATTTATTCATTCAGCCATTTTTCTTCAAGGGATTTATGAAAGATTTGACGTATTTTATTATCGAATCTGTGCGTATACCCATACAAATCCGAGTTGTATAATTTTTTTGCTGTATTAACTCTCCCCCTTAAATGTCAAAAATTCGCAAATTTTGAATACCCGCCTATTTGGAATATTCATATGTTACTTAAAAGTTTAGACTTTATCAAGTTAAACATATCTATAACAGTCTAGGCTGTTATACATGTAGATAAGTTTAACTTGATAAAGTCTAAACTTGTAATGTAATACATACATGTATATAAATAGTAAAAATCAAAGCTAGGTTAAACCTCTTACTTTTTCCGGACAATAATTATAAAGGTTATTCACCCGAGCATATGTGGGTGTTTATTTCATTTTTACAATTATTATTATTCTTTTATGAAAAGATGCAATATTTATAGAGATTAAAGAAGAAAAAATAAATATTGAATTGTTAAAGGAGAGACGTTAATGATATCGACAAAGTTTATGAATGGCAAGCGGTCCAATATTTCAAACATTAATCATGTACAAATCATCAATTATTTTTTCAGCAACTTCCTGGATATCGGTTACAAATGACCAGTTCATAGGGGAATTTGGTTTGCCATATACATCTGTAACGATCAGAATACGGAAGTATAATACCTCAACACAAGCCGAAGATTATGTGGATTATGAGAAAACGTATAATGGTAAGTTTGTTAATAATGGAGAAGAAATAATATATGATTGTTGGTTTTCGAGGAAAAATTAATATATCAAAATTAGTATCAAATATTATATAGAATCATAGCGATTAAGTAAGTATTTAAAAAAAATACTTTATTTGTAAATGATAGAAAAATCATACGATGGAATACAACGCTGGTCAAAAAAGAGCGAATTCTTCTGATCGATCAATTTTTCTTCTACATTTTTAAGAAAATGATATCCCTTCCATACTAAATTTTGTCATTTACATGACCATGTAAATGGTATTCATAGAAAATATGACCGAACGGCATGGGTTGTTTACTCTTCTGATATTTTCAGAGTTTCATTGTATATTCTTCTACTAAATATCATTATTCTATAAAGGCACATATAACAATTGATGGTGATATAGTTTTTTTCTATTTATCCTTTGTTAGAATATATAAAGAATATCTAATGGAATGGATAATCCATAAGAGAGCTAAACGAACGAAAACTATTCATATTAAAAAAAAAAAAAAAAAAAAAAAAAAAAAAAACTAGCAAACTTCTTCACATCTGTATATAAAAGCATAAATACCTCTTTTGATTTTTACTCCAACCTAAGCAAAATATTGATTATTAATAACAAAAGATAATCAACTACCTTGAAAGACGGTATACAGAATTGAAGTTACTGTATTTTACAGTCTTTGGACTGTGCACTTCCTCTCTTTTGAGATTGATAGAAAATGCATAATGTAAAAATTTTCGATTATTTCATTGATTGAAATGCTGTTCAAAGCAAGGCAGATTATTTTCTGGCGGTCTTATTTTTGTACGACTTCACATTTTTTTTTATTCTTTCCATTCTTTTCAAAATGTCGACAAAAGGTAATGTTATTCAGTTTACTGTTTAAGGTTTATCTTAAGGCAGCAAAGCTTTTTTTTTTTTTGGAAAAAAATATACATGTTAAAATTACATTTCAATATGTTCATTTACCAAAAAATCTTAACACAGCTTTATATGGACGATTTCCATATACTGAAGTCAAGAACCATAACAGTTAATTGCTATAAATACACAGAATAAATACGCTGCTTATCCTTTTGACCAATCGGATAACGACATGGGTCAACCTACACCACGTGTCTTGAATTCAAATCGCTATATCATTAGTAGGGATGTTATATGCGTAGCAAGTTTGGCGGGAAAAAGCATTAATCCTCATTCTTTTTCCCGTTTTACACCTCTCCATATGCCTGTTTAAAGTGTTATAGTACATTGTATAACATGGTTATCGGCACTTATGAAATCTGTGAAATTTTCATTCCTTTCCTTACTATGAAAACAAGCGTGCAGTAGATCCATATGCGTTGAAACTTAACTTTATCGATGAAAATCTGACGGCATAGCAATATCATATTTACCAACATAGAACATTTCCTGGTAAATGTTCTAATTGATAATATTTTGACGCTGAGATCAATTTCCCCATAATCACTGGCATTTTGTTATATGCATTACTGTTGAAGTTTATCCGGGATAAAAAAGTAAAAATAAACTGTTCACGGTTAATATGTTGGGAATACCTCATTCTTCAAAACTTCTTTTTAAGTCTCGCAAGGAGTTTATAGATTTACTTGAGCCGTGTTCTCTAACAACTCACAAAAAAGTTTTCCTATCCGTCCAAGTAACCTCGCGTAATTAAATATCAGATTGAGATTTTGGAGTCATTAGATTTCTTGGTGGCTCAATTTTCGTGGAATTCGTGGGTATCTCTCATCCACGAATTAACATCTTTCATGAATTAATAAACTAGGGTTAAAAATCATAGAGAGAATACACGAAATTACGTCTCAATAAACTTGTAAAATAAGCAATTCAAAAAAAAATTGCCCCTACGAATTTCAAGGATTCCACAGTAAGTGATTGGTCCCTTAATAGGCAATTTCAATTATAGACTTCACCAGCTACCACTGAAGGATTTAAAATTTTTACCTTTAATCGACAATCTAGGCTATTATGGAGTTAGTTTCTACTCATATTATTGGCTCCTATTTAAGCTGAATTATTTAATTCCAATTGCTAGGCCTTTTTTTTTTTTTTTTTTTTTTTGCTGACTTTGACGCTGGAACGTTCCGTCTACTTGATAAATGCATAAGGCCCATGGCAAGTGTAGCCGGTCAACAGGGATGCTTACTCCTCATACGCACCTGAACCCCCCTCCCCCTCTGAATTTCCAGGGATCCATGTTTTAAGCTCTCTTCACGGATTTGTATTGTATATAGATTTTTTGAGATTGATAACTGTTCTTTTTCTTCATTTTTTCCCATTTATAAAATCGTGTTTGACTTTCCTCAATATAATTTAATATCTCCATCCATGAGTCTACTTTGCTCTGTATTTTTAAAACATAATAATAAAACTGTCTTAAATTGGCATTTAATACAATATTAAACCAATTAACCAAATACGTACAAAAGTAACACATGTCCGTATCTTAATGTACCCCTCCTAAGGATATTAATGTAAATTATGAAAAAATAAAGATATGAATAGAAAAATGGCAAAAAGGATGGGACAACCCTTAACAGAACATGTCAACCTTTTATGAATATGAACCGCAGCATGACAAATAAGTACGTAAATATTATAAAAAATGATTAACCTATAAAATATTGAAAATTAGAGACAAAGAACAAAACCACTACTTATGTATGTATGTAGATATAATTAATTCAAATACTCATTACAAGTAACAAGTATATATGACAATATATTTTACGTAATTAAAAAAGGCAAGATATGAAAAAGAAGACCTTGACACCTTAAGCTTGTCAGAATGGATTAAATATATTGGATGTATGTTAAAATCTCGCATTAAGCGACTGAGGGGCAAATGAAAACCAACTATCCCTCTGTGTTCAATAATTCAAAAGTGAAAAAAGAATTAAATAGATTAGATGATCAGTATGTACTGGTCCCTGCTGACAAAGCAGGTAACAACAATGTCTTTGTTTGTAAGGCTCATTATTTAAATTTTATTTTAGAGGAAATTGGATTTTATTCAAAAAGTGGTAATCCAACTTATACCGATAGATTCCTTTCTTAGGAGGAAATTCTTCAAAAGCATATGTCAGTTTTGAATATTTTAATATTCCCAAAAACCTACATGGATTTGAATTACCATATTTGTGTTGGATTCCGAATCGAAACTTCATAAAAATACTTACAAACATAGATACATGTAAATAGCGGGTTCCAGTAAATATTCTACCAAACCTCTTTCTTTATTCCTTACTAAAATAATGCTAGTAATAAGGGAGAAACTTCAGGAGTACTGTGCACCAACATAAACGAGAAGTGGTGTAAATGATATGTGGATACTAAAAAATTCCAAAGGACTTTTGAAAAATTTAATCACAAAATTTGACCAAAATCAACAACATAAAAACTTACGACTTTTCAACTTTATATACAACCAACCCCACGATAAATTAAAGTCCAGGCTTTTTGATATCATTGACAGCTGCTTTTCCAATAAAAATTGAACTCGTAAATTAACTTAACTTGTCATTGGTCATTTGCAAAATTATTTTGTTAAAAATCATTCTGATTGTACACACAAGTACTCTGAAGTTGATATTATAAAGAAGCTTGAGTTTCTGATTGACAATATATATTTATGTGGTTTTGGAGACCAGGTTTTCCAACAATCTATTGTTATTTCCATGGGTACCAATTGCGCTCCGTTATTAGCAAACCTATTTTTGTATTCATAAGAAGCAGAATTTGTTTAAAATCTTGTACTTGAAAAGAAGAAAAGACTTGCCTTGGCCTTCAACTCGACATTTATTTCCATAAATAAATGGTTATTTCCAATCGTATGTCGATACAATGTATCCCAGTGAGCTTGAAATAAAAGATACCACGGAATCCCTCACATCTGTTTCATATTTGGATATTTTACTAGAAAAAGACGTTAATGGTTATCTAACAACCAAGCTTTATAATAAACATGATGACTAACTTTTCAATCGTGAACTTCCCTTACTTATGCAGCAATATACCTTCATCACCTGCATACAGGTTGAATATCTCTAAGTTGAATCGATACTGAATTGTCGACGGATTTTTCCGTTATTTCCCGATCATGACATGGAGCAAACGGCGGGTGTGATTGGTCGGCAGGGGATGCTCACTCCTCCATATCAGTTGATCCCATCTTTTAGAGGTCCGTGTTTGCTCTGCTCCAAAATTTGTATTATTTAATGAACATTTGAGCTTCAATACTGTTCTTTGTGTCCATACATTATATGCTAGAATGTTACAACTGACTAGTGCATGGAGTGGTTGCAGAGTAGGACGTGGGTCAAAAAATTGTCACCAACAGAATGCATCGTCTGGAGATAAACAATGATGAGGTGATAAAATCAAGTTACAGGTAGCAACAAAAATTATTTGCGGATTGCAAATACTCTAGTAACAGAGATGGTATAAATTACTTTATGGTGCACATAAATACAATTAAGGTCTCGTCCGGAAGACCGAAAAAAATTACTTCATAGTGCCGAGCCATTGGTTTTGGAACAGTTGTTATCTATTTTATATCGACTTAAATCTGTCGTTGTCGGGGCTGAATCTCATGTTCTTCAAATTACAAAGCGAGCTGTGTTGGTAATGGTTTTCATGAATTGAACTTTTATATACAACCATTATCTTATCAAGAATGAAAATATAAACGCAAAAAAACAGTGCCAAGCAAATGGTATACGAAATATGGAAATAAGGAACAGTATTCAAGCTCAAAAGTCCATTGAAACAATACAAATTAGGAGCGTAGCAAACACAGACTTCTTAAACATCAGAGGTGGGATCAGTTGCCATGGAGGGTTGAGCATCCCCTGCAGACGGATCACACCTGCCGTGTGGTTCGTGTAATAATCGGGAAAAAACGGAAAGATCCGAAGACTATTCAGTGTGTAAATAATGGCCTAACAATTAGTATTAAAAATGTCCATCAGCATTGGACTTAATTGTAAATTGTATTTGCGACAAGGTCATTGTATTGTCCATAGAACTTGTAAAATGATGACTTTAAAAAGACTGCCAATATTTTTACTTCATCAACCTCTTTGTCAATAGTTGCCTCATTTAAAAGATGTTCTTGCGTATCTAAGCAACTGAGATATATACTACATATGCAGGTGATAAAGGTATATTGCTACATAAATAAGCGTAGGGATATTGACGATTGAAACGTTGAAGTCATCGCGTTTATCATAAAGTTTTAATTTGGTGTTAGGTTACCTTTAACGAGTCTTTCTAGTAAAATGTCCAAACACCATTTGTGTTTCTCAATTTTAATTTTTTTAAATGTTCTGTTGACTATTCTTTACCATGTTAGTTTTAATATCAATCCATTTGAGTGCATTTTCCGTTCTCATGTTATGGTTGCATATTTCTGCCCCCTACGTGCAAGAAAAAGTAGGTTCAAACTGATTAAAATCAGGTCCTATGATCCGCTCACATACATGTAGATCGCTACACAAGGATTTGAAGAAACCCCATTCTGGGTCATCTCCAGGTGACCTTCAATAATCCAATCAAACGTTTGCTTCTGAAAAATTAAAAGTATCTCCGAATTCAGTTACAGAAGCAAAGACCCGATGATACACGAACGGAAAATCGTATCCTGGTTTCCGTAGCCTGTCAAAATTTGAACGACCACAGTTTTTTTGTACAGAAATATATTTAGTTTTTGCTCTTGCCTTTTTAGGTCTTTGTTTTATACGAAACGATAAGATCTTCTCCACAGCTACTTTCACTTCTACATTCATTTTCCCGAATGCCGCTTGAGTAGGATCTCTTTGATTGGTCAAAATTTAATGAATATATTAGAAAGCCTACCAGGAGATGGGGTTTCCTCAGATCGTTGTGTAGTGGTCTATGTGAGCGGATCAAAAGATCGGCTTTTTCAGATTGAATTTTGATAACATGCGAAAAAAGTAAGTCAACATGGAAGTTAATTATGTCTACATGTAAAATTATTATGTTGGCGTGCAAATGACCACAATTGTTTTTAAAGAATATAATTTTTATGTTGGTAAACATACTTACTAACTCCAGTATACGACATCATACAATTAAAATACAACAGAATTATGTTGACATGCGACTTATTTATGTTAACATGCAAGATATTTACATGTACATGTATGTCAACATTTGATTTACTTTTGTTAACATGAAACATAATAATTTTAATATGCCACTTATTTATGTCAACATGCAAGATGATTATGTTAACATGCATCTTATTTATGTCAACATGTGACCAATTTATGTCGACATGAAACTTTTAATGTCAACATGCGACTTAATTGTGACAACATGCGAGTTATATTTTAACATGCAAGATATTTACAAGTGTATGTCAACATGCAGGATAAGTTGCATTTCAGCATACATATCTCGCATGTTGACATAATTAACTCTCATGTGAAAATAATTATCTTGCATGTTGACAGAAATAATTTGCAAGTGTACATAATTATCTTGCATGTTAACAGAAATCAGTCGCATGTCAACATAATTATCTCGCATTTTAGCATGAATAAGTCGCACGTCAACATAATTCTGTCGCAGCTTGCTTTTATGATGTCCTAAACTGGCATTAGTAAGTAAGTTTACAAACATTAGAATTAGATTTTCTAAAGGTATATGTAGCTTGTATGTCAACATAATTATTTGCATGTTGACATTACTAAGTCGAATGTCTTCATAATTATGTTGCATGTTAACATAATCTATCTTCTATGTGTGTGTGTGGGGGGGGGGGGGGGGGCAGAAATATGCCAACTAAAAGAATGTATTTATTGTTTTTGTTTTGTCAAATTTTCTTTTTTAGTCGATGCACTTTTAATGTAGAAACTTGTTCTGCCTCAACAATAAACATGATAAAAGATACTAATATTTTCTAACCATTTTACTTTTTCATTTTAGTCACAGCATTAAAATCTAAGGAAGGCGATTCAATAAACATTTCATGGACAGATGAATATTTTCAAGAAAGTGGAAATTACTTCATTCTTCATGAATATAATGGCTCAGTGTCACAAATTATAAACATAACTAATGCTAATCCGTCCTTAACTGAAAAATATGTATATCATCCTCCCCCTTTTAATTCTACAAACATACTGATTGAGGTGAAAAATGTAACAGCGGGAGATGCTGGATTTTACATAGGAAGTCCTTCAGCGAACAATGCTTGGTCAGGAGAAACAGGAGCTGTTCTAATTGTTTCTGGTAAACCCTGCAAAATATCAACTTGATGCACATGGTGTTTTTTTTTTTTTTTGTTTTAGTTTTACATCTGTTCTAGCTTTTCTTATTTCCTTGATTTATTATTTTTGTATGAAGTAAACTTTAAAAAATTGTCTGTGAAACTTGCTATTAAGCATACATGATGAAGGCTTAAAAATGAGGATTTTATTGATATAAATAATAATTGAGAATTATTTCACAAATATAAAAGATATAATCCGTCAATTTTTTCCTTTCATTCCTCTAACCATCAACTTTAATATGTTATTCAGGAAAACCACTGAAACCTACCATAACAGGAGATCTAGATGTAAAGGTGGGAGAATATGCCAATCTGAAATGTGAAAGTAGATCTACGTCTGCTCCGTACTATTACAAGACGTTTCCGCCATTATCATATTCTTGGTTTGTCAACAGCACTAAGCTAGACAGAGAGGATAGAGAGACCTACAGCTTAATTGTTACCAAAGATGTTAGATATAACCGATATAGCTGCCAGTCAAACGAAACTCTTGAATCAGACGAAAGTGAAGAAATTCGGATTAACCTTTTTTGTAAGTAAAGATTTGTTGTGCGTATTAATTGATGGATCATTGCTTAACCCCGAGTCAGCAATTTTTCAGCCATGTTTTTGTGGTCTTGGCACAGAGGTAAGGCATTAAATGTGCCAACGGTCTACGTAAATAAAAAATATTTTAACAAAATAGATTTGTTAAATGTGCACGATGGATGATGAAACATGGATGGACTTTTTAAAGCCAAAAAGGAAGATCAATGATAAAAAAAAGTGAAATCAAAGAAAAAGCAATCTTTCTTGTTATTGTTAAGAGAAATAAGAGCTCCAAGCATGTTTTATTAGTTTTCATTTTTTCAAGAGGTCCAGTAAAACATGTACATTTTGAGGGATTGAAAATACTTAAAATATGTATTACGTACTTTTCTTACTTTTAGTTGACCTATTGCATTATTTATTGAACAACCCTCGTATTGCACAAATTTATCATTACACGCCTTTACTTGGAATAATGATAATTATGGCGACGGGTACTTGCTTGACTGGAGGTGAATCGTCACTTTTTTTTAAATTTAAACCATCGTTGACAATTTACAGGCCTTTGAGTGACATCTTAAATTCGGATGCCAGCTGGCGCCTTATCAAAAACATTTGGTCGCTAATGTAAAATTGTAGTCGCCAGGCAAGTTTTTCGTAGGTGCCAGTTTTAAAAGCTGATATTGGACAATATACAAACTCATTTGAGAAGTCAAGGAAAGGGTTTATTGCAGTCATTAAGAAAAAAGAAAAAAAAAAAAAAAAAAAAAAAAAAAAACAAATATAAGCTATTAAATAACTAAGGGTTTTAGCTTAAGCTTGCAGTTAAAAATTCATCGTCTCAACCACTCTCCGAAGTACCCATATGTAGCTCTCTCCTACCGGCCGGAATTGGAGAGGACCGTGCATTTTAGTCGTGGTTTGCAACAATGGTACAACTTAAATCCAGCATTAAAGCACTGATTTCAATCACACATTTATAGTCTTAATATCCTAAATAATGTTTTATTTGATTCTTTATATAGCCGAAATAAATGTGAAATTATGTACTTTAAAACACAAAAGTAAATATCAAGTATAAGATCATAGGGAAGATAATATAAGAATAGGGTATATTTTTAAGCTTATGCAAGTATATGGTTATGACTCTTGGAAAAAGACTTTCGGTATTTCATCTCTTGCATTATATCTGTCATACACGATTGCAAATCTGAAGGATCTACAAAAAAATGAAATTGTTTGGTTGTTTTCGAAAGAAACACAAAAATCATTTAGCATTTAATGTATCTGTATTTAAACTTTCTACTTCCCTGGCAATTTTTTAATCTTAAATAATTTATAAACTTTCTTTAAAAAATTAACCAACCGCTGACTTGAACTATATTTCTGAAAAAAAAGAGCTTACAACTGAATTGTAAATCTTTTATTCTACAACCATTTGATATTTATTACTCTTTTGTTATCAGATTTATTGGACCCAAGGGTATATATTAATGACAAACCTAAAAAATACATTAACTATTAATGAAACAAATCCAGTATTTCTGTCGTGTTTTGTAAATGGAAAGCCTAATTCAGAAGTCACCTTCCGCATACTCACTGGGAACCAGATCCTTATGCAAAGTGTAAATGATGTGTTAAACTACACATTGATCAGAACGGCTCAATGTCCTGACACAGGTACTTTTGAATTTTCGGAAAATCGACTGAGTTTTGGAAACGGGATCAGTCATTTAGTGTTAATGTTCTCTGTATGTATACTTTGTTACAGAATGTACGTAGTCTGCTATCATTTATTGAGTATCCATATTTAAAAGAAACACCAATAAAAATTAAATGCATATGAAAACTTAAAATACAAATTCTGACTTCTCACCTTTTCTTCACTTCTGATTTTTTTTGAGTTTGAGTATATATATCTAAACAATTTAAAAGGTATTGATAAAAGGTCTTTTATATTCAAGTAAATTGACGACATGAATTAGAAAAAAATAAAATGCAATGCCTCTCACAATTAAGAACGTCGTATTGTCATTAGTGCAAGCTTTAGATGTTTTTGTGGGGTTAACTAATTAGCGACATATTATTATGGTATTGTAGGTGACCCTCGCCTTGATGAATTCACCTCAGTGAAAACCATCTTTGGATCAAGAAGTGGTCCGGATGCTAAAGTTTTTGTAAGTTTACCAGTTATTGCGAATCCCCTAACATCTACATCAGGGTTTTCTTGGTCAGGACCTACATCTGAGTCTATATCGATTAAAGTTTCACAAAGAGACAATGGTGTCTACAAACACTGGATCAACGGCACCATCTCTGTTCCTGATCGGAGATCTTTCGGAAGATACTCACTGATGTATAAAGGAAAAGTCATAGCTGATATAACAATCAGAGCGGAAGGTTGTACTTTTTAAAATAATCTACGAACATGAATTTAAACATCTAGTTCAAAACATGTTCTGTTAAATTTGATTAGGTTGTTCCTTTAGCTTTATTCTGTATTTTCCTCGTTTTTTTTTCATTCCTTCACATCAATAAATTAGCAATGTAATGTAGAAAAATCATTTTTGTGTTTTAAGTAATATTTTAAGATAACTAGCGCTGTGTGATTTTATCAACAAGGCGTTTACTAGAATATGGTTTATAGGACTTTATTATCCTTCATATTTTTCTTCACTATATCAGATAAACCTCAGCGACCTTTGAACTTTTCATGGTATTCCTACGCCAGTGGATACATCAAACTTACCTGGGTATCAAACTTTAATGGAGGACCAGAACAAATCTTTACCTTGTCAAGCAAAGAAGAGCGCAACTGGAGAGTTGTTAAAAATCTGACAGACCCTGGTGAAGGTAATACTGGATTTTATGACCTTGGACCTTTAACCTCAGGACGGCGGTACTGGTATCAGCTGGAGAGTTGTAATAGAATCGGTTGTTCTTCAAGGCCTGCAGAAGTAAACGTCACAGTTCGAGGTAACATGGTTTATAAAATAGGTATCCTTTCATTCACTTAATAATCTTCCATCATTTGAATACATCAGACACACGTGCGTAACATATTTTATCTGTGTAAAAATAATTACAAGTTAGACAATAATGTCACTGACAGTAATATGCCAAGCAAAAGGAGAATTAAATTAAATTATCCTCAATAAACATTGTAACTATGATTTAGTGTGGAGGTATTGCAATTACACTTTTATTTAATTGGTATATGATAAGTAATGAAATATGGAGAGATAAGGAGCAGTATTCAAACTCAACGGTTCATTGAAATAATACAGATCGGAAGCAGAGCAAACACATACTTTTGAAAGCATCAGAGGTGAGATCGGGTACCATGGAGGAGTAAACTTCCCCTGTCAACCGGTTACACCCGCCATGTGCTCCTTGTCATGATCAATTAAACGGAAAAATCCGTAGACAATTCAGAGTTTAAATAATGGCCTAACAATTAGTATGAAGAACGTCAATCAGCGTTCGACTTGATGACAGATACTATTGGCTGACAAGGTCATTGTATCGACTATAGAACTTGCCAAATGTTGACTTCAGACGAGACTGTTAATATCCTTGTTTCATCAACTTGTTTGCGAAAAGCTTGCCTCGTTTCAGAAAATGTTCGTACCTAGAGCATGCTCTTGTGTATGGAATCAACTGGGAAACGTTAACTACGTATACATCTCAGCTCTGTTTAGGCTGCGTAATGGGGGCAAGGCCTAAATTATACAGGAAATGCTTACTGTGACATCACACAAAAATAGCAATTCCTCATAATAATAGAAAATAAAATAATTTGCAAAAAAGTTATGAACTACATCAGAACTTAACACTGCATTCATTTTAGTCATTAGTTAAATTCCACCCAACAAGATATAAAGAAGTCACTGATCGCAATGCACTAGTCGACATGACGTCATCAGGGTAAAATTTGACGCATTTTGTGTGCAATGAGAAATTTTTTCACATTGAAAAATGCATTTTATTATTAAACATAATATTACTTGGAAATGTTAGGTAGATCATTAATACTTATCTGAAACCTTTGTTTAGTGCCAAACATTGCTTAAAAACAAGGTTTGGATAAAGAATGTTTCAAAAATTATCGACTTGTCTCGAACTTGCCTTTCATATCAAACGTTTTGGAAAAGGTCGTCGCCATTCGAATTGATCGTCATCTAGAACAAAACCGTCTTAACGATGACCTTCAGTCCGCTTACAGGAAATACCATTCCACTGAGACAGCCCTACTTCGTGTTCATCACGACATTGCTGCTGCGCTGGACAACAACAGTTGTGCAGTTCTAGTTATGTTGGATCTTTCGGCAGCCTTCGACGTCATTGACCATGGCATCTTGTACAAACGGCTTGCACACACTTTTGGTATAACAGAGAACGCTCTTTTGTGGATCAAGTCATACATGAGTCAAAGATTGCAACGCATATCAGTTGGTTCCGAAATTTCCGATCCATTACCATTAAATATCGGTGTACCTCAAGGCTCAGTGTTGGGGCCTAAAATATACTGTATTTTTTCCCGTCCGGTTACCGAGATTTGCTTGCGTCATGGTATGAGGTACCACGTATACGCCGATGATACGCAAGTTTATCTAGAGAAGAACCAACTGAGACCTGGCTGAATGTGTCTTCTCGGTTAGCATGCTGTCTGAATGAAATCAAGTCATGGATGTCTAGTAACATGCTGAAATTAAACGAGGATAAAACTGATCTTATTGTATTTGCCCCTAAGAGTCGAATCAAAACCATGACCGAATTCAGCTTATCGTTTGGAGAAAAAATCATTCACAGTGTTCCGAATGTCAGAAATCTTGGTGCATTTTTCGATCGAATCCTATCTTTTGAAAAGCAATGTAATGCTGTTTCAAGGACATGCTACTCGCAGATTCGCAAAATAGGACGCATTAGACATTTTCTTACGGATGGGGCATGTAAAACACTTGTCCACTCTCTGGTGACGTCATGATTGGACTATGGTAATGCGCTCTTATTCAACATAAATAGCACATATATATGCAAATTGCAGAGGGTTCAGAACACGGCTGCTAGACTTATTACTAGGACAGGCAAGCATGAACATATTCAGCCCATACTTGTTGAGCTACATTGGCTTCCTGTCAAATATAGAGTGCAATACAAACTATGTGTCTATGTTTTCAAAGCACTTCATGGTTTGGCACCGACTTATCTTTCTGAACTAGTTTGCGAATACAGACCTGCCAGGTCACTTCGCTCGGTTTCGTCAAACAAGTTGGTTGTGCCTCGAGTCCGATCAAAAACATACGGTGATCGTAGATTCGATAGAGTTGCTCCAACACTTTGGAATCAGCTGCCAGTAGAACTTCGACAAGTTCACAAATTGGAAGTTTTTAAAAGGGAACTTAAGACTCATCTTTTTAAAAAAGCCTTTACTTGAAGTGGAAAGTGTATATACGTATGGCTTGTTTTAATATCAACGTGACTGTATTTTCAGAATGTCTTACTATTTTATAGGTAATATAAGATTGTTTTAGTCTTCCTTTTATTATGTAAAGTGCTTTAGAGTTCACATAAGATAAGGCGCTATATAAAATTTTATTATTATTATTATTATCTTGACCATTTTTACATATATGTAACGGAAAACATTCCTTAACTTGAACAGTGCTGCTGCTCTCCTGAAATCGAGAACATTACTTAATAAATGCATAAAATACTTGGTTAAATTCTCACATGTTTCGACTAGAGCTAAATAATTTGAATTTAAACTAAAAAAAAAAATGCGAATTCTATTTGAAGCAGTAGCACTTTTCATAAACTACAAGATATGTAGAAATAATTTATTACTATTTTTTTCTAATTTAAACCAGGGTATGCTCTTGTGATATTGAAATTTTTTCATGACCTACATACAATACACATATATTTATCACGTGACCGTCAAATAACCTGACTAAACCAATGTCAGTACAGAGCGGGGTATACAATGTTATTTCAAATATTATTAAAGTCATGTGAAAATATAGTAATTTTACAAAAATAAATTCAGTTTAAAAAGATATGTGTTTATGCACGTTTATATTCCATCAATTTCTTCGGAGTACGCCTTAACAGTGCTGCGAGGTGTTTAGGGTATATTGGTATATTAATAGGAAAGTTGACGATAGAAAAGTTGAATTCATATCGTTTTTCATAAAGTTTTGTTTTAGGTTACCATTAACATCTTTTTCTCATAAAATATCCAAATATAAAACAGATGTGTAAGATACTGTGGTGTCTTTTATTTCAAGTTCACTTGGATATATCGAGTAGACATATGAGTGGAAGTAACTATTGTTAATTAAAAATACGTCGTCGGTATATCTGAATGTCGTGAGGAAAACCACAGTGTTTTTTCTTCTCCTGTAGAAATTGTTGAATAAATTCTGCTTCATATGAATATAAAAATAGGTTTTCTAAAAAGGGGCGCAATTGGTACCCGAATTTTGATGAATTTATTTCTTTTAGGGAGTAAAAGTAATTGCCTCAATAATTTCGAACAGCCGTCGTATCTCTCAAGTTTGCAAGAGTAATCGCTCTTGCTACATCTGCAACTTCATATATCGCCAGTTAAGTGCATGTCGGATGGCGCAACTAATGGAATGGTTTCTCGGAAAAATACTTTAGTAGGAGAGTTGATCCTCATTTCCTTTCAGCTCGCCGGTTGCTTAACATGGTGAAAATTTTATAGCGGTTGTAATCCACCACACCTCCAACTTCCGTTATTAAGCATAAAGGCAATTTCAATTTCAATTTGTTTTGCGGTTTCAGACTATAAGGAAAAGGTGTTGTAAAATGTATGCAATCACCCTTATCATTAATAAGATAATTAATTGTTTCTATTTGATAATTGTGATTTGCAATTTCAATTTGGTAAAATATCACATACTCATATTGTATGTCAATTTTGTGATAGGATTATTGTTACAAATTCATATATTGTGATTTTGCAAGCTCTATGGTCGACACAAAGACTTTGTCAGCAAATACAATTTATCAATTAGTCAAATTCTTACGTTTTTTGTCATACTAATTGATAGGGCATTAATTAAACATTGAATATTGTTTACGGATTTTCCCCGATCATGACAATGTGAACATGGCGGATGTGACCGGTCGACAGGAGATGCTTACTGTTCGTTAGCTCCATATCTCATCTTCTAGGGATGAGGTAATGGTAATGTGTAATGGTAATTGAAAGTAATTAGTTACAAAATTTCAATGTAATTGAAAGTAATGTGGAATTGGCCAAATTTTCAATTACATGTAATTGTAATTTCATTATTTAATTTTGAGAAAAGGCATGTAATTCACAATTGCTTTTCAATTAAATTCAATTACACTGGTGCTCAATGAATGAAAAGAAGCTTCCCCACATCATCCTTATAAATCTATACAAAATCTCATAACTTTACAAAACAATATTTGGAAAATTTGAATGAAAATGTAAAATCTATGTGGCTAAACTTATTCATTTTTTTTTTTTTATATGAATGACTTTTTTTTTAAAGAAAGTATCTGCTGTCCTTAACATGCTAATTTTCAATCTTCTGGACAAAATGCTTTTTATGGCTAATTTTTAAAAGAAATTTACATATTTCCCCTTTTTATGAATTGCTGCTTCCTCATGCATTTCTTTTAAACTTTTAAATCAAACTAATCTCTCTGTATATAATGTACAAATAAAATTAATAATTTTGTTTTACAAAAACCTGCACCACATTTTCGCGTAATTTTCGCTTTATAAATATTATCACATGTACGTAATAAATATCTGTAACATTATATTGAACATATATGAAAGATTGAATTTGCTTAACGTATCTAAGTGTGTTACAAAAAAAGATCAGATTTGAAAAAAAAAAAAGCTATTTGTAATCCTTATGTTTTTCTTGATTATGCTATATGCAATTTTTCGAAATATTTGCATTTTTATATCTAATTTTGAAAAAAAATGCACTTGATCAAATCAAGCTAAAAAATCAAAAGGCATTTTTGAAAATTAAGATTTTATGCATAATTTCTAGCCGTTCTACGGTAAAACACCCTTGACTATATGGACCAGGAATTTTATACCTCACCTCTGGTATTTCCGAGATCTGTGTTTTATGCCCTGTTCACAGACTCACATATCCAGGAAATCACACATGGCTTTATGAACCCAGTTTCTAGATCTGGTTCATTACGTTATCTTACATTGCAATCGAAATGATATTTAAGTAGCCAACGATTTTTTTGGAGTGGTATCAGCATAAATTGAAATATATTTAACAAAACAATATATTTCACTCAGATGACAAATAAAATTTTACAGGTGTAAGTACAGATTCCAGAGAACCCCTTATCAAGACGATCTATATTGCTGTTGGAGTCCTCGCTGGTTTATCTGTTTTATTGCTGACGAACTTTGGTGTTTATAAATTCGCAGTTAATCGAGGTAAATCTTTATAAAACTCTTAATCTCTCACCCGTCTATAAAGATGTTTGCAAACGTAAATAAAATATGTTAATCTTTTAGGTTTTTAATTTTCTTGGAATATTATGTTCTTTGGGATTTTATAACAAAATAGGAAATGTAGCATATAACTAGCAAGGTTATTGTTCGAAGACAAAAACTCGTCCAATTTCTTCTTCCTTTTTTAAAATTTATTTTAAACTGTTTGACCTTCAGCATTCATACTTCATGGAAAAGAAATTAAAAGAGATTAAAAATCTTTTTAAAAATATACACAAAGTTTAGAAATTAAAGTTACCCCGAACTTTGGTATTGACTTCGTAATCAGACCCACTACAATTCGAAGGAGTGAAAATTGAGAACTCTGAATTTTAATTTTGAAACAGTTTTAAAAGACCATAAACGACACACGAACTGAAACATACGTTAAGAAGTAAAAGATATGAAAAGAGATATGAAAAAATTCTCATATTTCAAATGAACTTGACATTATTTTCAATTCAAAGTTTGAAGTATGTATTACATTTGGTTTTATGCATCTAAGACTTAGCTTTTCAGTATTTTCAACATGAGCAAAAAAAAAAAAAAAAAAAAAAAAAAAAAAAAAAAAAAAAGAGAGAGAGAGAGAGAGAGAGAGAGAGAGAACTGTTACATAGCGGTTGCAATGCCAAGGTTCATTTAATGTTGAGAGGGGACTTCATGAGCAGCCAAAGTTCCTAATGCGCAGGTGAATTGCATTAATATTTCAAGTGTTCCATTTTCATGAGGTATAATTCTCTTGAAACAAAATAAACACGGCAGAAAATGTGAGACGAACTGGTTCAAGAGGTCTTTTAATACAAATGTGGAAATATCTAACACACAGAAACATTTCACATAAAGAGAAAATACCTAATTAGCACGAAAACTGAACTTGAAAGGCTAATAATAATCCTACGAAATGTCCCGTGAAATTGAACCCTTACTGTGCCAGTAAAATTATGAAAGTTTGAACAAGAATATATTCAAGTTTGCATATGTGAATTTGTTACAACTTCTTCAAAATACCTTGAAAAAGTTTGAAAATGACTGAGCAATGAAGTTCTTGAAAAGAAAGGCTTGTCAGAAAACTGATGTCATCATATGTTTATTTCACGTATGATTTAATTCTTCTGTTAAAAAATTATTTACATTACATATTTTTCTTATGTCACAGGAATACAATTAGGTTCGGTGATTCAGCCAACTAAACCAACTCATCTTAGAAACATGGATTTCTTAGACTTGGCCAACACAGAGGGCATAACTGAGAACACAGAGCAAACACAATCAACGACAGATTCTCAGAATGTCAGTGAACATCAGGACAATCAATATGTAGAACTGAAACCTGTCCGAGATAGACTTTACTCATCTCTTAATGATCTTTAACCTCTGATAAGAGAGGTAACTCTACCTAAGATTCTTGGCTATCATTCCTTTAAACTTTGACAAGTTAACGTGTTTTTTTTCAAATTCTACAATACTAGGTATATTGAAATTATGTGCATTTTAAATACAGATTGATTTTGAAAAACCATCATCACTGAAACAAAATTTAAATACGTGTACGAGGAAAGATGAACCTTGATAAAAATTGTTTCAACTCTTCAGTAGCAATGAATTGTGTTGATTTTTTAAGGATGATTTAAACACTGTAACAGCATATGTCTTAAGTCTAATTTTTTTTAAATATTAAAGAGATAACGTTATACAACTTTTTTTTTTTTTTTTTTACTTTTTTGAACTTTATTTTTTTGAAATTATTTCTGATCAGTAGACGTAACTTCATGTTTCATGTGCTTTATGTATTAGTTAACCGTCAAAATATTTACTGACTGTAAAACAACTTCAATTGTAAAAAAACAAAACAAAACAAAAACAAAACAAAAACAAAAAAAAAAAAAACAAAAATTCAGTGTCCAATCCATAGAAAAAGAAAAAGCATGTAAAGGACAACTTTTATACTCTCTTTATCAAATAGAGCGATGTCAGATCTGTTCATATATTAGAAAACAATAGTAATGTATGTATGTAGACTAACAACAGGAAAACTAATTTGAAGAAGTTATTATATTCGATTAAGGAATTTTTTTTTAGTTTTCAATTGGTTTAAAAAATCCTTGGAAGAATATGAATAATTAAAACATATGATTTATTATTTCTAGACTCTTCCTCGTTATCGTTAATTATTCTACTATTAATCGTAAAGATCAAAGAAATGCATCGACCAACATTTTCAAATATATCAGAAACGCCATCAATAAATAATCAATAAATTTAAATCGTTTTTCCTCTTATTTTTACTGCTCAAGAAAAAAAAAAAAAAAAAAAAAACAAAAAAACAAAAAACGAAAGAGGTATCTTTTGATTGTGACGCACATTAGTGAGAAAAATGTTTACTGTTTACTTAGGATTCGAATATCATGTACTTCATACTTTATCAAATGCGTGTATATAGGAATTTAAAGATTCTTAGTAGCAGAAAAGAAATAATTTCCCTGTTGTCGAAATCGTTGAAGATCATACCCTGATAGTCGAGAGATTTTGTTTTGCGAGCCCGAAAGGCGAGGTTTTTTTTCCTTGCAATTTTTCGAGACCGAAGGGTATATTTTCCAACCATCTCTCCGACGCGGAATTATATTTTAAATACACAATAATAGTGAGGATGTTTCCTGTATTTAGAGTTTAAATGATGTTTTCGAACGGAAAATTATGACTGTTCAAAAAATCAAATACAGAAGATACCTTCTTTAGAGATCTCTGCATGGTTTTATTTTACTCTTCGCAGGGATACTATTTATCTCTAAGGATAATGTAAACATGAAATGATTTGAATATTATTATTGTTTTTAACACGCATTCTCTGTAAGCACCAACAACTGTGGAAAATTTCCAAATCTTATGTGTGTTTTTATACTTGAGAATTAGTAGTGTCATCTCATGAAAAAATATCGGTGGGCTTTTACTCTTCTTTTTAGTAACATGTATCTATAAATAGATTTATTTTAGAAAAATGTAAAATATCAAATTTTGGCAAAGTTTTAGATGTCAGTGCTGGATAATTAGGAAGTATATTGTAAATATTAAGATGTTAATGACAGTAGCTAGACACCACTAGCTGGAGTGGACAATGGTGAGGGGGATTCCCATTTCTATTTATAGTATCAAGCACCTAAATATAGATATGTCTCTGAATATTAGGAAAAATGACAGTTTTATGCTAATTGGAAGCTTCATAGAAAAAGTTTTAACAAATATTAAGCTTCCTACAATATGCCTTCAAAAAGAACATGTGTTTGTACAATAATTTATACAATACTGAGGATCGACTCTTGTTTTTTTTTTTTTAAGCAACAATGGTCTAAAAATAGATTCCTCGAATTATCGAGAAAATGTAGATTCTTGCACTTTTTCAGGCAATGATGGATGGAAAAAATGCAGACTAACTGTTATAAACCTAGTGTGACTGACAAGTACTAGAAACCATTTACAGAAATATACACTATCTGAAGGGGGTTCCCTTTTCTATTTATAGCACAAACACCCATAAATAGAAACATTTCAGCATATGAGGAAAAATGACAATTTTCCACCAGTTGTAAGCTTTATTGAAAAAAATATTTACAAAATATACTGCTGGCTACATTATGTCATGAACAAAAACATTTGAGCAATTAATAATTGACATAATATTGAAGATGGACTCTCTTTTCTTTTTATAGCAATACCTGTCTAAAAATAGATGCAGTGAGTTATTTAGAAAATAGAGATTCTTGCACTATTTTAGACATTATGGATTGAAAATTTGAATACTCTCTATTATAAATATTATGTGACTGACAAGTACTAGAAACCAATGACTGAAATGCAAAATGTTTCAAGCGGATTCCCATTTCTATTTTTAGCACAAAAAATAAAAAAAACAAACACTTAGATACGTCTTAGTAGGTAAAATGAGGTTAAATAAAAATTTTCCACATACTGAAAGCTTCGTAAATATATTTACAAACAATTTGCTATCTACAATATTTTAACAACAGGAACTGACAAGTTCTAGTAACCATTTACTGTAAGGCCCTGTATTTGAAGGGGGTTCCCATTTCTATTTATAGAATTAAACACCTTAAAATTTACATGTCTCAATATATGAAAATAAATAACAATTCTTTAGTAAATAAGCTTCACAGAAAAAAAAAATACAAAATAAACTGCTCTCTACAATATGTAATTAACAAGAACAGTTAGTCAATCAATATTTGACACTATTTAAGGGGTGAACTCTTATTTTTTATAATAGCAAAATTGTCCAAAAATATCAAAATGCTGTGAGTTATCCAGAATATGTAAATTCCTGCATTATTTCACACATAACGGATGAAAAGTTTGCATCATAACAGTTACTGTTATAATCATTATGTGAATGACAAGCAATAGTGACCATTTACTGAAATGCACACTATTTGAATGAGGTTTCTTTTTCTTTTTATAGCAACAAACACGTAAAAAAGTTTCTGTGTTAGCATATGAGAAAAAAATGACAAAGTTCCACCAATAATAACCTTCATCTGAAAAGATAATTACAAAATAATACAATTGTCTACAATATGTCATGAACAAGAACTTACTTTCATTTGTTTTTATGGCAACAATTTTATAAAAATAGAAACCCTGAATTATCACGTAGATGTAGATTCTTGCACAATTTCAGACAGTAAGATAATTTTCCACCAATCAGAAACTCATAGAAAATGTATTTACAAATAAACTGCCTCTACAATCTGTCAACATCAAGCACATGCGGTTAGACAACACTTTGTATATTATTGAAGGTAGATACTCAATTCTTTTTATAGATATAATTATCTGAAAAGAGATGCTGTGAATTATAGAGAAAATGTAGATTCTTGCACTATTTCAGATATTGTAAAGGGCAAAGAAGAAGGTACAGCTTAAATACAATTTTTTTTTAAAATATGAAATTGTGGTCAGAAACTTAATAAATGCTTTCTCAACCGTTTAAATTCGCATGCAGAAAGATCATACAGTTTTTAGCTCAACTGATCAGAGACCAGAAAACCTTATGCGATAGTATGGTGTCCGTCGTCTGTCCATCTTTCTGTCCGTTTTTCTGTGAACAATGTTTCTAATTGCTACTCCACTTACGGTTTTGGGCTGATTCAATATAACTTGGCACACAAGTAGACTACTTTAAGATACATAATTTTATTTTAGCAGTTTTTCATTTCAATGAACGGTGTTGCCATGGTTACTAGGAATAAAAATTTCTTTAAAACACTTTCAAAACGCTACTCCTCCTACTGTTTGGTTTGATTTCAATATAACCTGGCACACAAAAATACACTAAGATATATAATTCTATAAGTTGTTTTTTAATTTTGATGAACTGTGCTGCCATATTTACTAAAGATAAAAATTTCTGTGAAATACTTTCAAAATGCTACCCTCCTACAGTTTTGGTCTGATTTTCATATAACATGCAAGTAGACTACACATAAATACAAATTGTCTATCCTTTTTTGATTTTGATGAATGATGTTGATATGCTTACTAAAAATAAAAATTTCTGTAATTTTCTTTAAAGGCTACTCCTCCTGCAGATTTAGTCTGACTGCAATAAATCTTGCCACAAAAAGAGACTAAACCAAGGATCATTATTCTACCTAATGCCTTTCCAATGTTTCAAGTCAAGATGCTTCTTTCCTCTTCCTCTTTTATAAGTACAAACCGATAGAGCTACAGTCTCATCAGAGACTTCTAGTTTATAGATGAACTCCTAATTACCAATTATGGCATCATGAACCTGTGCATTTTTCTGTATTTTAATTAAATTTTGTAGAAGACATCAATTATCATTGGAATTTTCTTTTAAACATTATGGACCACATTCATCTACTTTTTGTGTTGTTGCCGATTACAAAACTAATTATTTTTCCGATTACTGATTGCTCTTGTCTTTAAGCAATATATTAATCTACAAGTTTTTTTGTCTATAGTTTTTAATTCTTTTTAGCCAAAGACTCTCAGAGCTTATTCTGTGGCCGTGTCTGTGGTCTGCGTCAACCTTTTGGAATATGGACCATATCTAAGGAACCTTTTGGCCATTTCTTTTTTCAAATTTGTCACAGTGTCCCTGGCTTAAGGGCTCTCATTAATACCAAACATAGGGATGTGCCCCTTAAACAAGGGGAGATAATAAGAGAAACAAGAGGCCCATGGGCCACAACGCTCAGCTGAATTACTTTGTCCCTCCTGTTCCTCACCAGATTTCCTCCTTGTCATACTTATTGTGGCCCACCTTACCCTTGGGGGTCACGACATGATTTGAACAATTTAGAATCTACACTACCTCTAGAAGCTTTCACATAAGTTTCAGCTTTTCTGGCCCAGTGGTTCTTAAGATTTTTAAAAATTTTCATATATATTTCAATGTAAAACTTTGATTCCATATTGTGGGCCCATCCTACACCCAGGGGTCATGATTTGAACAATTCAGAATCTACACTACCCCCGGAAGCCTCCACTTAAGTTTCAGCTTAACTTGCCTACTGGTTCTTGAGAATACTTAGTATGTTTTAATGACCCCAAACTATTTTGTTTCTTCTTGATTTTCTACCCTTGTAATGGGGCCTGGCCTTTAATTTTAACAATTTAACCTCCACTTCACCCAAGAATGCTTTGTACTAAG